AAGAACCTGATTTTGCGTTCCACATGTAAAGCGGAAATCATTTCAATACTCAGAAATAAATAACAGCAATTTTAACTTCACAACATTATAAGCTTTACAAAGGTATATACATCTTAAGTTGTATAGCTAAGCTTAGTGATTGTTAAGAACTAAATTTCTTTAAACCAAAACAAAAGAAATCAGGTCCAGGTGGTTCAGAACATGGGAAATCTGCTGCAGGTTACTGTGACAGAATCTTCCCTGGTCAGGTTTCAAGGAAGCCCCAGAAATCACCCCATCAAAATCTCTACCAAAAATTCCTTCTAGCATCACAAAAGTCTTTCTCCCCGTTATAGTAAAGTTCATCTTGTTAGGTTAGATCCAACAACTCAAGTATTTCAAAATATTTCCTGATCCTGGCTCTAATAAGCCTCAATGCCCACAAACTTGAAACGCATGCCTCCAAACTTTAACTAAATAATTGATTAAACGTTAACTAATACAGTGCCTGCAGCATGCCCCTAGAGCCCTCACACCAGACATCAACCATTAAATAACCAACATCTTTTTGGCAATGACCTATCCAAATCTCTTAATTCTCTAGTTTCTCCATATGGGTGTCAAGAGACTACCAAAAGACATGCTGGATGTGTCTACCAGTCTAATTTTCCTAAAATTAGATGGGATAAGACCAGAATATTTATTTATAAGAAACCCATGCTGACCCTGGCCGGTTGCTCAATTGGTTGAAGCATCATCCTGTACACCAAAAGGCTGTGGGTTCAATTCCCTGTCAGAGCAAGTACAGGAGGCAACCAACTAATGTTTCTCTTCATATCAGTGTTTCTCTCTCTCTCTCCCTTCCTCTTCCCCCCCCCCCCGCAAACTCTTTTAAATCAATAAACATATACTCTCGGGTAAAGATTAAAAAAAAATAAAAAGGTATCTGACACAGGACTTGTATTCAGAATAAATTTAAAATACTCTTATTCAATGACAGGAGGAAAAATAATCCAATTTTTTAAGCAGGAAGAATATCTAAACAGATATTTTACCAAAGAAGGTATATAAATGGCAAAAAAGCAAACAAAGATGCTCAACCTCATTAATTGCTAGGAAATATATTTAAAACCACAATGAGATATCACTGTACATCCCCTACGAGAGCTACATTTAAATGACTGACCATTATCAAGCAGACACAAAAGTATAAGGTTAAGCAGCAAGTGCTGATGCAGGAGCTGTAGCAAGTTTTCCAGAATTGACCAAGCTCAGATAATTAATGAAGGTGACTATACTCAACAACAGATTATAAGTCCATACAAAACAACCTTATATTGGAAGAAGATACCATCTACAACATTCATTACTACAGAGAAGTCAATGCTTGGCTTCAAAGCTTCAAAGGACAGGCTGACTCTCTGGTTAGGGACTAATGCAGCTGATGACTTTAAGTTGAAGCCAGTGCGCATTAACCATTCCAAAAATCCTAGAGCCCTTAAGAATTATGCTAAATCTATTCTGCCTGTGCTCTATAAATAAAACAACAAGTTCTGGATGACAGCACATGTGTTTACAACATGGTTTACTGAATATTTTAAGCCCATTACTGAGACCTACTGCTCAGAAAAAACAACTGCTTTCAAAATATCACATCTATGGATAAATCGTTCTTGAAAGGAAGAGTTAATAGATGTGACAAACTTCATTGTCGTCTTATTTTAAGTAATTGCCACCACCATAGTCAGCAGCCATCAGCATTGAGGCAAGGCCCTCTGCAAGCAAAAAGATCATGACTTACTGAAGACTCAGACAATGGTTAGCATTTTTCAGGACAAAAGTATTTTTTAATTAAGGTATGTACATTGTTTTTTTTAGAAATGCTACTGCACACTCAACAGATTACAGTATAATATAAACATAATATTCACTTTGTTGCGGTGTTCTGGAACTAAACCTGAATATATCCGAAGAATGCCTGTACCTATAGTACAATACTTTTACATATGTTCTAAAATATAAATAACATCTTCTGTATTAATATATCCAATCACTTATCTATACTTTTAAATAAATATACAATAATAAATATCATTAATTTTTAAAGAAACTGTTTTGTTTTTTTTTTTAATTTTAAGGCAAAAGACTTCCATTAGCTTCAGTATTAGGCATTTTTCACAAATGAGTTAAACCTCTGAGGCTCAAGCTGTTCCATTCAATTGAGTTAAACTCTGGAAAATACATCAACTTATTTCAAGCAACTAAGTTATGATTACTTATATAATATTTTCCTTCTAGTAAATGGTTGATACCCTACTGTAATGAAAGAAGAAGAGAAAGGTCTACTGTGTATTTCACAGATGTCTAGCACAAACCCTCATTTCTAATGAGATGTGGCGATCCACTTGTCCTTCAACAGCCAAGTCCCTTGGTCACTGAACCCTACACCGCCAACCTTCTACTGCAGATCCCCTTCCCTTTTCTCATTCTCTTATTATACACATACCATATCTTCTTAATTCATTCTATTTTCTAATTCTTTCACTATCCCAATGAACAAGGTAATTAGGAAGCAAAATTAATTTCTTTTCTCTCTTTGTCTGCTCAAAGTCATTTATGTACTGCAGCTTTCAGAGTAGAAATATTAAGCACAGGATCTGAATTAATAGCACAAAATTTTCTTTCCCCTTTTCTGCTTCCAGGTTTTAGGTGGTCTCATGTATCTGTGATTCTCCAGAATGCATTCAATTCTGTGATTTGTGGCAACATTTCCACTCTCAGCATAAATCATGTCGATTGTAGTGGAAATACAGGCAGCAAATAGTAAAGATTATTTTTAATTCTTTTCTAGTTCATTAAATAAATGTATAACTCTAACCACGCAATATTTCCATTTCAGGAATCATCACTTATCTTTGGAGAAATATAAGTCTATGATCTGCCAAGTGTAAATTTCAGTATAATGGAAAAGTAGAGGAAACAGAGTCATAGATTTACCAAAGCATTAGGCAGAGGGGAAATTTTCCATGATTGCTGCACACTGTAATTCTGCTCAATAGTCTTGAAAAGAATTGTCTCATTAAAAATACAACTGATCCTTGAACAACATGGGTCTGAAATACACAGGCACATTTATATATAGATTTTCTTTCAATAAACACCTGCACTATTTTCAATCCATGCCTGGGAGTCTGCAAATGCAGGGGACCAACTTTATACACTGATCTGTATCATCTTATAGAGAAGTTGAGCATCGACTGATTTTGGTATCTGCAGGGGTCTTGGAACCAATCCCAAGTGGATATCTGGGGACAACTTAGGTTATTAGGGAGTCAAATGTTATTTGTGGATTTTTAACTGCAGGAGGCTTAGAGATCCTAACCCCTGTGTTGTTCAAAGGTCAACTACAGTTTTACCCTTTATATTTAACAATTCAAAATCATTAGTACTTATTGAGATGGACCTATAAGTACAGAAATATGCTTAATATGAAGGAGGTGGAGATAAATAAAACCTGTTTCCCTGATTTGAGAAAGGAGAAACCAGATACATGGACTATAAATACAGATGTCTCATAAGGAGCTAGCTATTTCTAGACTTCAGTAAATAGTGCTACGCAAGGGAAAGCACTATTGTTACAAAAAGGAAAATGGGCAAAAACACAGAAAATACAAAGTATAACAATTTAACATGAATGAAAACCAATATTCAGCTATTCAAAAAAATAAAATGAGTCCCTACTATGTGCCAGAGGATTGAAAATAGCAAATCACTCTTGCAATACTTAAAACAAATGACATCTATAATGTTGTATAATTTATTTTCACAAACACTTCCAATTTCAAACATGTGTGACTAACTAAGCCTTAGCATAGTTACATTCCGCAACTTAATTCCAGTTCTTTTTGTCCTTTGGTAATTAAGATGTGAAGTTTTGGAGACTTCCCCATATTATACAGGGTAAGGCAAAAGTAGGTTTACAATTGTTCATATGGAATAATTAATAAATAATAATACAAGAGTAAACTGTGTTTTCATGTACTCACTACTATAAACCTACTTTTGCCCCACCCTGTATGTGAGTACCAGAGTTTACAAGATATTTTAAGGCTAGAAAGTCATGTGTCAGAGGGAAGCTGTTTGGGTGGGTCAGGGTGCATGGTGTCAAAAATGAGGAGATAAGTCCTGGTATATGTTAACCTATGGCAGATATGTCAAGGCCAAAAGTGTTGGAAGGGATAGAGGGAATGTGCTAGAGGATGTGCCATGAGAAGGTTTCTCAGGATGAGTATATTACAGGATTAAAAGAATGCATATCAGGTTTTATGTTCAGGAAGTGCTAAAAATTTCTGCCAGAGAGAGCATGAAAATTTCAACTTAAACATAGTTTGCAATGTAACTTCAAAGTGTGAGATGACAAAATATGGCTTCCTCATAAAGGCATGTTAAACTGGCAAAATGGTAACAAGATGAAATCAAATAGCTGATTTTCCTAAAACTCACTGTAAATTCTGGTTAATTATTTAAGGACTTCAAAAGCTCATAAATATATTAGCAAATACATCCCAACAAGACACTAAAAGAATAATACACTATTACAAAATGAAGTGCAAATAAAATTACAAAGATGGTTCTATTATAGAAAATCTACTATTCCAATTTAGCATACTCATAGATCAAAGTAGGACAAAAATCTCACATGATTATGGCAAAATTCTAAAAAACCATGTTTTTCATTCTTGAGTTTAAAACTTAATAAAATAGTAATCAATATTTTTAAAACAGTTATAAAGAAAGCCCTAAATTACTGCTTCTACGACAGGTTTCAGGATACTGAAACTCGAATTTCTGCAAGAGACAGACACTTTACATTGTCCTGTGATGCTCTTGTGAACAGCAAGAGGTCGTCTGGGGGCAAACAAGATATATATCTTTAAAAAAAGGGGTGAAGAAAACATCACAGAAGGAACTGAGAAGTTTTGTTGCCTCTCAAAGGAAACAAACATTCCTAACATCCTTACCAGTAAACAACATCCAGTGGTGCAAAGTAATTTCTCATTATCAGGTCAGCAAAGTAAGCTTCTGTTTCCCGGCAGGCAGTTCCATTTCCAATCACCACTGTGCTGCAGCTTCAAGGGAGAAACAGGAGGAGACACTGGATGAGCTCAAGGCATGCTTCTAAATCAATCAGAAGAAAATGTACGGAATGCACAAATACTATTGTACAATGCTCATGCTCTCTCATCTAGCCAAGCAACTTTGCACTGTTTCACAAGGGAGACATATGGAAAATAGAAAACACTGCGTCTTCATTTGGTATAGCACTCAGTGGAGAAGGATTTTACTGTCACACACCTCAAGAACATTCAGTTTTCTTCCCAGCTAGCAGGAACCAAATTTAGTGATGGTTAAGTGGATTCTAAGCCATAGTAAAGACATTATGACTGAATTATATGATGTTGTCAAATAACTTCTGAAGCTTCTACCTACCACCACACCCGTTCCTCAGATCCATGAGGAAGAAAGAAGAAAGGAAGGCAGAAGGGAGGGAGGAAGGGAAGGAGGAAGAAAGTATAGGCCCAAACAGAAGAATTAAACGCTCACTTTGCTCATATTACCCCCTTTGTCTAGTGAAGGTGGCAGAGGGAGCGCAGAGAGCTCCTCTGGAGTCTCCAAATGCAGAGCTCTCCAGCCATCTGCCCCAGCAGTATCTTAGTGGTTCCTTCTCTCATCGAGGCACTCCCCGTAACCCCTCCCTCCAAATTAGGGGCTCCAAAGGTATTTCTGATTGGCTGAGCAACTGAAGTACTCAAAGGTTATTTATTTTCATACTTGAAATTCAGCAAAAGCCTCTTTATTTTCTCTGCCTCTTGGAAGCCTCGTCCACAATGCAAGTAAACCACATCAGTATGAAGTATCTGACCTTAGGAAAAAATGAAAAGAATAAGCCAATTTATAAGACATTATAAAACATAACACATGAATGATTTCAGCCAGTTAAAACAGAAAAGGGAACTGGTTTGTCTTTTAAAATGCAGTCTGAATCATTCATATTCACTAAATCAGATTCTCCCTAAGCACTATGAAGTTTTGTTACTTCCAAAGTTACAAGGACTCTATTTTGCTACATAAATCCATTAATTTTTAATAATACTTAACATCAATAACAGTAAAAGCTAACACCAAGTATTTACTATATATAAAACATGTGATATTTTTATTTCTTCTTTGGGTTATAGATTTTTCAACTGTATTTATGAATGGTGAGCTTTTCTGTATTATATATTAGCTAAAAATATATTAAAAATTTGAGGGTAACTACCTAAAGAACAGAGATAATAATGAGCTAGGTGACCAACTTAGGAAGTTAGGAAAAGAACAACAGAATAATCTCAAAGAAAGTGGGAGGTAGCAAATGATAAAGCTAAAAGCAGAAATTAATATAATAAAATTTCTTAAAAACATAGAAGACCAATGAAGTTTAAAATTAAACGTATTAAGAAATATTTTTAGCAATACCAATCAGGAAAAAGAAAGGACTGAACATGCAAATAATTACACTAGAAATAAAAAGATATTAAGTACAAAATCAGAACAGATTTAAATAATACAGAGAAACTATTATGAACAAATTTATGTTCATTTAGATTAAATAATGAAATGGATAAATTCTTAGAAAAGTCTTACTTAATAAAACAGACTGAAGATACGTGTGTGTGTGTGTGTGTGTGTGTGTGTGTTAAATTTAAAAAAGAATCATCCTATAAACAATACAACACAGGAAAAGTTAAAAGCCATATGATAGCTCAAATAGATGCAGGAAAAAAACACTGATAAAATATACTTCCTAACACAAACACAGGAAAAGATAAAAGCCATATGACAGCTCAATAGAAGCAAGAAAAAAACACTGATAAAAATACATTTCCTATTATTGTAAAAATGCATAGCATAAAAAGAGCAACTAGGACAGCAAATCCAAACCCCCACAAAACCCTGAAGTATGAGCAGGTGGGAACAATGCACTGACAACTACCAAGACCATCAACATTCGTGCATCAACATTTCTGCCAGAGGAAGCAGAGAGTATCTCATAAACCCAAGATTGGAAGAATCTCAAAAATGTCCAAAGGTACTTCCCTAGAAATCACAACAGGTCTGTTTGAGAACCCAAGCAGAAACTTGGAGAAAAACCTTTGCATATTCTATTTATAGGTCAGTATGAAAGCTGTACACTAAGTTCAGAAAGGATTGGAAAATTCTGATCTCCATGAACTCTTCAAACTAACAAGTAGAATGCCCTTTTCAATACAAAAACCCACACTTAGGAGACTGTTGCAAATCACCCCTGTCTGGTGTGACTCACTAGACTGAGTGCGGGCTTGTGAACCAAAGGGTCACTGGTTCAATTCCCAGTCAGGGTACATGGCTGGGTGTAGGCTGGGTCCCCAGTTGGGGGCATACAAGAGGCAACCACACACTGATGTTTCTCTCCCTTTCTCCCTTCCTTGCCCTCGCTCTAAAAATAAATATAATCTTTAAAAAAATTGTTGAGAATTATATCCACACTGAGCAAGGTAAGGACAGTACAGGCAAAGAAAAGACAAAAGGGAAGAAAGCAACACAGAAGCAGATTCCAGAAATGCTAAGATTATCTCTCAATTTACGTAGATATAAAAGGTTTTTTCCTAATAATTTTAGGGGGGGAAAAAAGTGGCAGCTCTAGAGATACACAGCTAGAAAAGCTTTCATGACTTTCATGACCTAGCCTAAAAGCTGAGGAACGCGAATTTTATGGAACACTAGTCAACAGAAAGAATCATAGTCAAATATCATACAGAATGATTATTTTTAAAAAACAAGAAATAAAAAAGACTAGTATAATGTCCTTGCCTACAAAACAGAAAAAAACTATAACCTAATATATAAGAACAAGCTACAAAATAAATTACAGAAAATGAGAATACCAAATCAGAATTAGAAAACCTCAGAAATGAGATGAAAGAATTCAGGCTGAATTAAATATCAAAGAAAAAGTTATTTCAGAATTGAAAACCTAAACCAAAAGAAACACAAGAATGAATAAACAGTAAATGCCTTAAGAGATACGGAAGGTAAAAATAAGATTTAAAAGATCAAAACAAGTTAAAAGGCGAAGCAGTTCACCAAAGAACTGTAATTTATTTTTTGTAAGTATTGAATGAAAATTCCAAAACTTGAAAACATAATAACTTGAATAAAGAACTCAATGGATGGATATAATAGCAAATAAGACAGCAGAATAGAGCATCAACTTAAAACCAATCAAGAGAAAACAAAAGAATGGAAAATAGAAAAGGAAGTTGAAAGGTCTAACATACATTTAATTGGAATTCCAAAAGCAGATGCAAGAAACTCTATAAACCCAAGCAGAATTCATGCCACAAATAAAAATAATAACAATAACAACATAAGAAAACTTCTGAAAACCATAAAGAGAAAATCTTTGCAGCCAGGGGAAATAATGAGATTTTGGGCTGATTTCTCAAGAGAAACCATAGTAGCATGCATAAATAAATACACAAACAAGCAAACAAATAAATAAATCGATCAATCACTCATTCAATCAGACAAAACTAAAAACCCTATATCAAATACAGGGTGACAGAGATTTGACTTTGGGTGGTGGGCAAACAATGCAATATACAGGTGATGTATCATAGAACTGTGCATTTGAAACGTATATGACCTGATTAACCAATGACAACCCAATAAATATAATTTAAAAATTAAAAACTTCATCCTTAAAGTACTGACAATCCTGAGTTCTAAATCCCCCCAAAATATTCTTCAAAACTAAAGGCAAATCAGAAACTTTTTCAAACAAAAACTGAGACAATTTGTCACCAACTGGTCCACATTTAAAGTAACTGCCTAGCATTTTAGGTAGAAAGAAAATGATTTCACATGAAAAGACAAATGCAGAAAAAAGTTAAGAGTAATAGAAAGAGGAAATATATGAGTAATAGTAAAAACATTTACTGGCCAAAACAATAAAAATGCCCTGTGGTATTTAAAATATATACAGAATTAAAATACAGCACACAGACAATGTCACTGAGGGGTACCACGGCCACTACGTTGACGCTGGCTTCAATGCGGATGAGCCCACAGTATTGTTAGAGTTCACATACGGGTTTGGGGCGGAGAAGATTATAATCAGAACAACATCAACCGATGGGCCACAAGCACAGTGGAACAATCCCTTAGCACATTTGGTTAAGCTGGGAAAAGCTCATAAACATATCGGGACCTGTGCAGTTGTCCAGGGGACCGTGTATAGCTTTCACATAGCCAGGTCATGCTTTTGGGATACTGTATCTCATAGAGCCTGTACTGTAAGGTGGGGAACCAAACCATGAGCTCTATCACCAATGTTTTTGCCATTGCTATTGTCCTGTGACAGACTAAAAATGTTTGGTCAAAGCCATTAACTTAAGATTTTGTCAGTGTATCCTTTCTAAGAAGAGTAAGTTACTTATTAATATGCTAGATGGCAACTGTGCAATATGCTTCAAAGCTATCAACAAAAACCGAAATATTGTAAGCAAGCAATCTCATAAATTGGCAGATTAGTTCATAATCTATATGGAATCATTTCTTTTTTTACAAAGCATTTATTTGTTTTTGCTATTAAAAACTATTAATACCTTTCAATTTTTAATTATAAAAGCCATATACAATAACCATATGAAAGAATATTTGGCAATAAAAAATGTTATTCCTCAGTCTTACTTCCCTACAGTCTTTTCCTGTGTATCTAGCCCTACATTATTATAATAATAGTATATTTATAATTTTGTACTGTAAGGAGTTTTAATTTTTATTCTTTACAGAATCATTTCAATAGGAAAAATTTAATGTCAGCAAAAAACAAATAGAGAAACATGGCATGACACGAAAACACAACCTTATACTTACTCCAGCTTTTCATTAATTATGTACCTAAGGAGATAGGGAAATCCATTCAGTTAAATAATCTTTCAGCTTCAGAAGTTAACAAGGATAAATAAATATATGAACAAAAAACACTGCAAGAATAAATCTGGGGAAAATTATAATTAGCTAACAATTCTTAATTTTGTATTTCTTCTCCTCAGTTGTACATTATGACTTAATAATTATTCTTTTTTTCTCTCAATTAATATTGTAGTAGCAACTAGTAACAACTTGTTTACATTTTCTGGAAACTGTTAAAACAGTCTTTAAAATTTCAAAATCTTGTATTTACATTTGAGGGGGAATTAAATCTGGTAACCCTGAATTCCCTTGTTAAACAAAGTAAGTTATAGCGCATGGTGAAAAGTATCTGACTAACAGCTGCCTTACAAGTCACAAATTCCATGCACAACAAACATGTACTGAGTGCCTGTTATGAGCATATTTCTCTGTTACTCATTATATTTATCAATCTGTTGCTCAAATTCAAGTTTCTTTTGGCACCTGTTCAGTTGGACAATCAACATTTATGTTTTGGGGGAAAGTTGTTTCACAAGAGAGGGAAAAAGTGAATTTGGTCATCCATGTGGAAGTAAGCAAAGTGAAAGCACTTACTGCTGACCGAGAATCGTAGCTGTAATTTTAAGAACTGGTTCTAGCAAGTAAAAAAATGCATAAAATGTGCAGCTCTTAGTTAAAGGCCTTATTAGCAGTCTAACTGTACAAGCAGTAAATTTTGTCACTGCGTTAGTTACCACCATCTGTAAATAATTTTAAATATGTATGTGGGGTTCAAATTAATTGGAATGAAGTGTAAATTAAAAGTATACAATCATTAGCAGGTTATTGAAAATCTCAGGGCTTATGAAATGTAGTTAAATTTATTTAAAACATAAAAGATGAAAAATTAAGGTACACAGCTGGCCACCAAATGCAAAGTCAATCTGCTATTTAACCTTGAAAACAAAATCAAGTTTGCATATTACCGTTAACACTAATACATACAGGCAATGGAACCATGATTCACTGAATTTGGGGGGAAACAAAAGCTCGGTAGTAACAGTGACAATATTAAGATAGTATTCTTGTAGGGATTCTATGTGCATGTTTGATATTTTGCTGAGTAACAATAAGTGTTCAATGCTTAAGAAGAATATTAAGAAATCACAAGAGTAGAATTTATTGCAGTGATCTACATTTTTGGCCCATGGGAAATTCTTAGTCATTACCTTTATATTACTTTACATTGCTGGTTTTTGAGCCCTTGAGGATTATAGCAGTAGCCAAAATATCTGTACAGTTCAGACTCATTTTGATTATTGTTACTGAAGCCTGATCTTAAAAAATAATAACCGAAAGTACCTCGTGAATTTGCTATCTGCTCTGATTCTAATTACAATATAATAAAGATTATCTTCCTGTGCTATAAAAAAGTAAATAAACACATAAAATAAAATAAAAAATAAAACGTATCATACATAAATCCATCACAATAAATAAAAGTTGACAGGGGGACAGAGTTGTTCAAGTCTGACCTCAGTTAATCTTCAGTATCTCCACTGTGATATAAGGAAGAGCATAAATGACAGTACTATATTGAGGATTTTGGTCATCAAATAAGACAAATATCAAGTATGATTCTCTGGTTCCCTGTACATGAGAAAATCATTTTCTAAGACGTGAAAATTAACATTTCCAAATCCTCATGAAACATACGAAATGAAACGTATGCCAACCAAACAACTTTAATACAAAAGCCAAAAGATATGCTTACTGGTAGGAGAAATTATAGCTAATTTGCACCCATGTTTGTAACCAGGATCCACTCCCATCAAGGTGCGCCCGGGAACAGGGCTTGTTAAAAGGAGCTGACGAAGGTTCCGTCCAAACATCATTACAGATTCCTTCTCTGCATCTGATGTTAGTTTGGCTCTTTAGAAATAGGAAAAGAAAAAGGAAAAAGAGAATGTGTTTAGTGTCTCATTCACCCAAATTTTCTTCCAGAGAAAGAAAAGAATTTATTTTATACAGTTATTTCTCACAGGGGCATTTATTATAACAAAATTACCTAAGAGAGAAAACATCATATACAAAATTATATTGAGTTTATTTTTGCTAACTGCAGTAGCATGGTATCACAAATAACTTTGTGGTAGCAAACCTACCAAGTTCATCATACCCATACTCCTCTATCTGCTCTCCCTTATATACAAAATGTATAAACATCTGTGTATATGAAAGACAGGTAAATAAAGATGCTGGCATCACATGAATATAAAATTAAATTTTACCAGCAAATTAAAAATATAAACATACAATTAGAGTGATAAGTTACTGAATCATAAGTAGCCTCCTCCATCAATACTTAGTTTTAAATCTTCACCTTACATATCTCAGTGCTTTCTTCTCACTCTATTCCATTCCCTACATCCACCCCTTTGTCATTCTCACACTGATCTGATATGACCACAGATACTAATACTAGTCTAGAACAATGACTCATATAAGTAACATCAATTTTTTCCAAAGAAGTTATTAAAAGTCTAATTTTAAAACTTGCTCTCGGATAAAAACATATGTCTATAATGGACTAAAGTCAATGGCAAATTACCACATTTTGCCATATATAATACACTCCCATGGATAATGCACACCCATGTTTTTGGGCCAAACTTTCAGGAAAAAAAAACTTTCATTTTAATTTTTTAATTCAATTATTCATTCATTCATTTATTTATTTATATTTAGAAACAAAACCCATTATTGTATTCCAGGGTATCACTTTGCATGTGGATCTCATTATTGCTTTCTAGAGTTACACTTTTCACACATAAGCATAAATAAGAGAATTAAAAACTTATACAGATATGGAATTAGTACTACCCATGTATAATGCGCATCCTTATTTTTCCCCTCAAAAATTTGGGCAAAAAAGTATGCATTATACATGGCAAAATACGGTAAGTTTTACACCATTCACCTACTTAATAAAACTTATCTCCTGAAATTTCTAGAAATTATAAAAAAATATGTCATCTCTATTAGACAAGGTTAAAAAAAATGCATGCCACTGGCCACAAGAAAATTGAGAGTTCAAAGGCAACTCAAAGCACACTTCATATTAGCACTGAGATAGAATTATTTACATAACCGAGGGCACACACAGCTAACTAATGTTTGCTTCACTGGCTTAATTCAGTTCCGTAAGGCTTTTCTCTCATCTCCTCTAACATTTCACAGCCATTCTGCCTGCATTCAGCCATGCAACATGAAAAGTATAATTATAGATATTTCTAGAGCTTCACTTTTAACTTTATTGAGCAAGCTTTTGCTGTCAGTCCTACACAAGGTACTATGACCGGTATGAGAGATACAAAGCTGAAAAGATACAATCCCTGCCCTAAAGACCACTATCTAGTAAAAGGAACAGAAAAATAAACACACAAGTATAAAACAACGGTAAGTGCTATTCCAATGGGAACACATAGGAGGGATAGCTAACCTAGGAAGACTTTCTGAAAGACTTGTCTTCTCAGGTGAATCAAGAAGGACGAGTAATAGAGTAAGGCACACGAAGGTAGGGGGAGTAGACAGGTAGACGGCATGGAGAGAATACTCCAGGCAACGGAAGCAGTCATGGTTCACTATAGCAGAAGCAAGTAATTTCATATGTTAAGGTAAAAAAAATAAAAAGTAAGGCAAATCATTTCATATGCTAAAGTAAAAAGAAATGCCAAGACACCGGACAAAAAGAAACCAGATCACAAAAGGTCATGCACATTCTTTTAAAGAGTTTAGATTTTTCCTGGAGACAAAGAAGATCCATGGAAGGATTTTAAGTTGAAGAGTATGAAATAATCAGATGGAATTTTAGGATGGCGATGCGGAACATGTATTGGAAAATATAAGAGAGAGACCATCTATGACCCTAGTATAATAATTCAGACAAAAATGACGGTGTCCTGAACTAACCATGGATAGGTACTAACTGTCCCCTAGGAACCATGGAGATAAACAGGAGTCAAAATTCAAAATATAATAAAAGATGGTAATTGATGGCTTAAATAAAGAAGTAGGGGTGAAAAATGACACATGAATGAATGACCATGATGGTCACAGAAATGAGAAATGCAGAAGTAGACTATCCCTCATATATAGTCAAATAAATAAAATGGCTGCAAGCTAATATAGGCTATATGTCCTCTTTTATACATACACATGAAGAGAGAAAAGTCTGGTTAACAATGGTAATGTCTAGGTAGTAAAATCATGTGTTTTTTGTTTTACTGATGCCTTCAATTTTTCTGTATTAGGACAGATTTCTTTTTAATTAGAGAATTAAAGTAATTTTCTTTTCTAAAATACCCACTGGGAGTTTTCTGCCCTCAACTGCTGTTCAGGTAATTACAAGTATTTCTATCAAGAGACACATCTATAGACAATGCGTGAAAACCAACTTATGGAATGAAATAAGATATATTTTTTTAACCACAGGCATTTTAGAGAAAGAGAGGGAAAGTGCTCTTGCTTGCCACTAATGGAAATCAGAGAAGGATTATACATTAAACAATCCCACAGCAAGGTGCTTTCATTAAATCTCAATGAAATTATGCCACAGTAGTGAAGCTACACAAATCAAATATATACAAAAATGTCAAAAATGCCACTAGGCATTATATGCAACATGAGAAACAAGACAACGGAAATGAAATTTTAAATGTTTCTGTTTCACTTTATTAAGAACAGAATCCCTTATTTTTAAGTCTGATGTCCCAGCACTCAAAAACAAGAGATGTTACTTCACACAGACTTGAACTAGGATTCCAAAAGAAACAATATTTTTAAGGAATGTCTGGGCAAAAAAGGATGAATCAAAAGCATGAATGACTTTGATTAAAAAAAAAAGAGGAAGTTGGCAAAAAAAACTGTGTGTTCTTTTTAATAGTACCTCCTCACTCCCTGTTCTACACACCTCTAAACTCAATGGCCAGGTCACATAAAAGAAAAACAGAAAAACATTATAAAGGCTGCTATAAATTCTAGTAAGGTTGAAGAGATGACTACAAATCTATAGTGTCCAGGTAATCCTTGTTGAAACCTATAAACAAGTGAGAATAAAGAAAATCTACAGAACATAGGAAGGAATGTATGAAGAAATGACTGGTCTCTAAAGATTGCCTACCAAGACAAAGGCTAGAGGGAAAGAGAGTTTCACCCCCAACATAACTTTTCTTCCCATCTCTTCCTCTAAAAACAGTTCTGCACCTCACCTCTTTTGCAGTTCTTCCTCTTTATAATTCTTACTCCTCCTGCTAGACGATCTACATGATCCCGTTAATAGTTTTCTAATATATGCTCATTATTGCTAATAATTACTCATCCAAACGACTCCCATTTGGCGTGAAAAACATTATATTAACTTTCTCTCTTTATAGTAATAAATTCATCATGTGCTCCACTGGTTCCCTTATGCTTTTTTTGGCTCACTTTATCTCTAAAATCTGCTTCCAACTAACTTCTCCATTAACTGCTTAGTTTGTTTCTCCCATGCCAAATCTCTCATCAATAAAACCCTTTGTTTAGCTTGGTTGTCAAACTGCAAGACTGGTATTGCAGAACTGGAAGGGGTACACAGTGAGGGGCAAGATTTGATAAGTATATCATAATTAGGAGCTATGTTTTGTGATCTATGTATATGTATGACTACAGATTGAAACCTAGGCTTAATTTTAAGACAGTATGATTGTGACTTAGTTCTTTGGATTGATTAATGGATCAAAAATATTTACTACATGCTTTAATGGGCCTATTATCATATATAATAATAAACATTATCCAAAATTAAATTACAATATGCATACCTGAACTCTCTACAGAGGAGAGGATAAATAAGGCGTTTAAAAGAATCATCCACTGAACTGTGTAAGATCTTCATTAACTCTGGCCTTGCAAAGCGACGTGGTCTCCACCTGAAGAAAAAAAGTCAATACTCAAATTGACGTACCGATAACAAAACCAGGAAAGTGCTCCTGGAAGAGGAGAGAGGAAGGGGAACAGAAAAGGGGGCAATAACTTTCCTGAAGCCAAGTAACAATCTGTGAAGAAAGACTGTGATGTCTGGAAATTATTAGCAATGGCATCTGGAGTTATTTTTAAAAACCTAGTAACCATGGTCACACATAAAACTTAAGCAAGGAAAAAACTTTCCTATTCTGGGAAGAGTCTCCAAAGCATTAATAATAATAATGGTCAAAAGTCTTAAGATATAAGAAAGTTACCAAAAAAATTACCAGAGAACTGGTATGGACTAAACTGTGTCCCTCACAAATTCATATGTTGAAGCCCTAACCTGCCCGCCTCCCCATTGGGATGATACTTGGTGAAGGGCCTTCAGGAGATAATCCAGTTTAGATGAGGTCATAGGGTAGGGCCCTCATAATGGGATCAGTTCCCTTATAAAAAGAAATATCAGAGAAGTCCTTCTCTCTCCCTAACAAGTGAGAGCACAGCAAGAAGGCCACTGTCTGCAAGCCATGAAGAGGGCCCTCCCAAGGACCCAAATCAGCCTCCACCTTGATCTTGAATTTCGCAGGCTTCAAAACTATGAGAAAATAAATTTCTGTTGTTTAAGCCACCTGGCCTACAGTATTTTGTTAAGGCAGCCAGAACTAAGACAAGCACTATCCTTCTTTTCCCAGTTCTTTATCTCCACCTTACGCTTAAAGTGAATTGAGCAAAGGAGAAACTGTTTTAACCCTTGCTGCTTGTCACTCTTGATCAGAACTTACTCTGTTACTCAGTCTGCACTGCTCCGCAGGCAGCACATCTGCGTACATGCTCATCAATGTAAATGCAGTGAAGTGACTGTTAGTGGGCACTGGAGAAAAAATGGTAAGAAAAAATGCAAGCGAAAAGAGACAAAGGAATTCAGCCCTACCATTTCTGCGCTGCCATCCACTTACAGCATCTATGCTCTCGCCCTCCAATGGCTCTTAAATAATAATATATTAATTAGTCTATACTAATTATAGACTAATGGTTTCTAATAAACCATTAATAGACCATAGGGATATATATCTTCCTTTCTTCCCCCTTAACTAAATTTCAGTGAAGAAACATTTAGGCATTTATAAATGTAATACATCAAAAGTTACATAATTACAATCAATTGATTCCCTTCCATAGAAGGGCATTATTTGAGAATATAGTTTTGTTTGTCTTTTAATTTGAATGACAGTGCTTTTAGGCAGGACATACTGTATATCCTTCCTTGCACCCAAATCCTTATTACTCCCTAATGCCACCTTTACCTGAATGCATAAGAAGTAGGGAGAAGTAGGATATAAATTAGACACGCATTATTATTATTAATTTAGGAAACCCAATGTTAAGAAAGATTTCCCAGAAGAAACATCTGAAGTGGATTTTAAGTAGATGAGTAAATAAAAAAAAAAGTGGTACATTCAAGCAATTAAATAGTATTCAGCTGTAAAAAAAGGAAATCTTACCTTTTGCGACAGCATGTATGGACCTAGAGAGGATTACGCTAAGTGAAATAAGCCAGTCAGAGAAAAACAAGCACTGTATGATTTTACTTATATGTAGAATCTAATGAGCAAAATAAACTAACAAATAAAACACAAACAGACTCATCAATACAGAGAACAGACTGACAGTTATTAGAGGGGAGGGGAGTAGAGGATGGGTGAAAAAGGTGAAGGGGTTAAACAAACAAACAAACAAACAAACAAAAAACCCATAGTCAGACAACAGTACTGTGATTACCAAAGGGGAAGGAGAGTAGGGGGAGGTAGGAGATGGTAAAGGGGGGTAAATGGTGATGGAAAGAAACTTGACTTGGGGGAGTAAACACACAATACAATACACAGATGATACATAATAGAATTGTACCCCTGGAACCTATATAATCTTATTAATCAATGTTACTCTCAATAAATTCAAGTTTTAAAAAATCATGGTTCGCAAGCAAGACACAGGAATAAAAGTATTCTGGGAAGAAACCATAGCATGTGTAGTGACATGAAAGAGGATGATAAATTCAAGTAACTACAAGCACATTAGTACTGCTAGGGCATAAAATATCAGGATTCAGGGGACAGGGGTGGTTTAGACAGATAAGCCAGAAAACATGGCAGATCATTAAGAGTTGTATATACCATGCTATGTAGCTTGGCCAGTTAGGAGAGAACATAGTCCTGGGTCATGGGACAATATGATAGGAAGATAGTTTTTCGAGGATAGAAGATCCTAATGGGATGATTTTTAAAAGACATATCTGATGTGTGCTGGGGTCATTCTCTTTAAGGCCAAAGAAGATTTCCCCATTGCTTGTAGGACAAAATCAGAAACCATCAATATTACCTGCCCAATCTCTCTGGAAGTCCCAATAGTCTTCCTTAAACCTCAAAAACCTTCTTCAGTGTGACTGCTCTGCTCCCTTCTCCCTGCTCTCCCCGCTCCTGAGAACAGGGTACTGTGGGTCTGTTTTATACTCGAGGATGCCTTACTTATACCCATTCACAGTTCACCTATTTCTTACTGCTACCACCTAGTCCAAGCCGCCAACATCCCTTGCCCCTACATTTACTCACGGTTCCCTCCAAACTGTTCTCTATGCTGCAAGCATAAAGATCATTTTAAAATTCAAACTGATCATAGCATACCTGTGTTTAAACCCTTAATTGGCCTTCCATCACCCTTGAGATAAAGAAAAAAATCCTTAGCATGACTAAGAAAGCTAGATATGATCTGGCCCGAGCCTACATCTCAATCCTCATTTCCTGTTGCTTCCTCTCTCTTCTGTCCCTGACCTACACAGGCACCCAGTTATTAAGGCTCCCTGTTACAAACTCTTATGACACGCTGCACTTCTCCTTTGTAACCTCAGCATACTTCTAACAATTTGCTCAATGTCTTTTTCATTAAAGTACATTGTCACCAAAGACAGGCAGGATATTTCTCTGGTTTACAGGTGGATCCCCAATATCTAGCACATAACCTGAATTGGTAAGTACAAGGGAGAGATGGAAGGTGGGAGAAAAGGTACAAAGAGAGTTTAAAAAAAAAAAGAGAGAGAGACTAGGAGCCCTGGATGAGTAACTCAGTTGGTTGGAGCATCATCCCATACACCAAAAGGTTGCAGGTTTCATTCCCAGCCAGGGCACATACCTAGGTTGCAGGTTCAATCCCTGGTCAGGGCACATATGGGAGACAACCGATAGGTGTTTCTCTTTTTCTCTGTCTCTCTCTAAAAATCAATAAACATATCCATGGATGAGGAGTTTTTTAAAAAAGAAGCCCTGACTGGTTTGGCTTAGTGGGTTGGGTGTTGTCCCACAAAGCAAAAGGTCACGAGTGGATTCCCAGTCAGAGCACATGCCTGGGTTGCAGGCCAGGTCCCTGGTTGGGGGCATTTGGGAGGCAATCAATTGATGTTTCTCTTGCACATCAATATTTTTCTCCCTCTCTTTTTCCCCCCTTCCCCTCTCTCTAAAAATAAATAAATAAAAACTTTAAAAAAAGAATAAGATTCAAGCAACCATCTTCAGTCATTCCAATGTGTTTAAAGAAAAAAATTTCTTGACAATAGTACCTTAGTCTGAGAATAGTATCTTAACTAGCTTTTGTTTCAGTTCTTTATGTCCCATAGAAGTGTTCCTTCAATTATCTACATAAAGAGAAACTTCTAGAATACAACTGAAAATTACATCAGTATACCAGAGTGATATAAAGTATTACAGTATAGGTTAAATATTATTATGAATTATTCAATTGGAGAATAAAATAAAATACAGAGAAGCTAAGAAAAACCAACTAAATCATTGGAAGGAAAATCACTCCTTGACATTTACTTACTACAAAGATAAAAGATTAGAAGCATAACTATTAATTCCTTAACTATTGAAAAGAGACTCTGATACTAAATATTATAATCTTTATATTCATAGGAAAATAAACTAGAAGTTGTCCTCAATTTACTGTGATCAATTTGTAAAAAACATTTCTAAAAAGAATATTTGCACAACAAACCCACCATTTATAATAATAGATATCATCAAAGGCTACACAATTACATGGAATATCATTTAATATTCTCAAATATGTGAGAACAGTATTACTATTTTAAAGATAATGAAACAGAAAAAAATTAAGTAACATGCTCATAGTCACAATAGTAGGAAGTAATAAAACCGGGATTCAAACTCAGATATAGCCACTTAGGATTTTGCTTTTTCGATGAAACTGTCTTAAAGTTTCATCGGATCTTAAATTAAAATTATCTAATTTCTTAATATAATTTTTTAAATCTAGGATTTCACTGAGGCATTTATTTCTTTTTTTATTTTTAATGGAAGTTATTTATAAAGGAAATAAGCACTGATTTAAAAATGACAACTACATAAAAGAGTATATAATAGAAAATTAAAATCTCACACAGAGCTAAGGAGTAGACCATTCAAATCTTTTCAGACATTTTTCTACACATACATAGAAATATTTTTGTCATTAATGAGGTCATATTACCAATACAAATTATAAGTTGTCTTTTTAATCTGACATGTTTATCTCTCAACTTTAGCTCTATCTCAACGTTTTCAAAATGGCTGCACAGAATTCCATTATATAGATAAAACATAACTGGCTTAAGCAATTAACCTAGTGATTAACATTTAGATGTTTGCTCTATTTCATGTGTCCCTTGGTTAGGCCATTCAGCAAGCTGATCATTAATAAAATTCACTTTGGCAAACTGACTTCCAATGAATTGATGCAAGAACTATGTTATGTGAAATAGCTCATTCCTAAAGTACACAGCACTTGTTCTTCTCAAAGTACAATTCATCCAATTCTTCAAGTAGCATTTGCAGCAATCTCTTTAACCTAAGGTCACACAGAACTAGCTAGTGATGAGCATACCCAAAACCTACATCTCCTTACTACTGGGGAAGCCACTTTACCTCTTTGCATCAGTTTTCTCATTTGCTAAATGGCAGCTACAAACCTGCTCTACCAACCAACTAGACTTGTGAGGATCAAATGTAATCTAAAAAGTAAAACTGAAAGTTAAAAATGCTATACAGTTATGTGGTGTTACTTTTAAAGTTTCCCTTAACGAAGAAAAAATAAATAAAAAAGTTATATAAGTTTGGAAATCTCTGAAATATCCAATAAATTTAATGTTTGTTTCAATCATCCTTTAATGGCAAAATGTTTTATGTAAACTAAGTACAGTATGTTTGAGAATTAAATTGTAATAGCCAATAAATTAAATTTGTTTCAATTATCCTTAACAAAATATTTCTGATTTGTTTTATACAGTATGCATTTGTTAATTTATTTTTTCACAAAAATAAACATGCTCTTTATAGAAAAAGTATTAATGTAAAAGCCCCTCCTAATTTTTTCCAATTTAAACACACACATCATATATACTTATTTTTTTAATGTAAAGATACTATACCTATTGTTTGTCATCGTTGGTTTCTTTTTTCTACATAATGGACATCTTTCCATATTAGTACATACAGATCTCAGTACAGTATTTTAGAAACAAGAGAAAGGAAATTCTATAAACAAACCTGTTTTGGATGCACCACCTACAGAATTCATTCTTAACTCCATCAGGAATGTTGACCTTGACTGTCAGTATCTTCAAATTTTCTCCACGGTTAATAGCCAGAATCTGAGTACAAACATATTATGGCAAAGATGTAAATTCACAAAATATATAAATGATCAATTTAACCAGTCAACATTTATAAAACAAATCAGGAGGTTACTCAACCTAGAGCTGTATCAATTTGCTATTCATTTATTTACCAAAAATGTGTGTTTCACTCTGCATGGTACATCCAGGGCTTGTCTTTGTTTGCCTGGGTCAGAGTTTCCCTGGGACAGAAGTAGCTTGCTGGGTTGCACTTGTTATAAGTATTTAGAGGCAAGTGTATTAGCTGCAGTCTCAAGAAGTAAGAAATAACCATTGGAAATAAGGAATAACAGTTGGAAATAAGGAATTACAGTGAGAGCAACCAAAAAGCTTGGGAAGGAAGAAGTTGGGAAACAAGAGAAACTTGAGGGCAAAGGGACTTTGTAAAGTTCCTGTGTAATTAGGAAATCTGCAAGGCCACATGCATGCTCAGGACTAAACACATGCTCTGAAAATACCTGAGTAGATCTTAAAATTTCACCTCTGACTGACCTTTGGGCTCTAGGCAAAGAGGAATTGAAGGCTAAGGCAGAGCTGTAAACAGCCCACCAAGCATTCAGAGTGCCCCCACACAGAGCCAACCTGCAAGGACTGGTTTTTGTTTTGTTTTTGGTTTTGGTTCCAGGCATTCAGGAAAATCTCTGTCAAATAATTACTTCTCCACAAGCTAAAGGAACAGAGACTTCAGTGGTCAAACACAACAAATACATACTTTACAAAAATAGTTTAGAACTAAACAAACTCACAACAGCAACAACAAACCCTAAAAAGGGAGGAAAATCTGACTTTCAGTAGTACCAACTTACAACATTCAAAATGTCCAGTTTTAAACAAAAAAATTTACAAGGTAGGCAAAGAAACAAAAAAGTACAACCCATTTGCAAGAAAAACCAAAATGAATAGACTCTGTCCTTGAGGAAGCAGAGCTGGACTTACTAGACACACTTTTAATCAACTGTCTTAAATATGCTCAGATTAAAGAAAATCATAGACAGAAATACAGAAGAAACCAGAAGAACAGTGTCTCAACAAATGGAGATATCAATAAAGAGTTGGAAATTATAAAAAAAGAACCAAACTGGAATTCTGGAGCAGAAAAATAACAATGATGGAGATTAAAAAATTCACTAGAGGTTCAACATCAAATTGAAGCAAGCAGAATAAAGAACCAGCAAACTTGAAGACTACTCAACTGAGGCAGAGTCTGGGTGGGAAGGGGGGTGGAGGAAAACATGAATAAAGCCTAAGAAACCTGTGGGACACAATCAAGCATACCTACATACAGACAGTGGCAGACCCAGAGAAGTAGAGAAAGGAACAGGAAAAATATTTGAAGAAATGATGGCTAAAAATTTTTCAGTTTTGATTGATGAAAAACATAATCCACACATCTAAGAATTACAACAAACTCCAAGATAAACTCAAAGAAATCCACAGCTAGCTATATTAAAATCAAACTGTCAAAAGCCAAAGCCAGAGAATCTTGAATAAAGTGAGAGATGTACCTACAAGTCAGTCCAGAAAAAGTCCAGCCATTATTAAAATGAGAAGAACGGTTTGAGTGACATAGATGTCACCTGGCACCCAAGGAGAGTGGACTGGAATAAACATGTGTGAACACTGACAACTTCACTAGACTAGTCAGTGGGGGCAGTAGACACTGTTGAGTGGGCATGTGTACTGTGTGGCTGTCACATTCAAAATGACTGAGCAAGAAGAGCAACGAATTTGCATCAAATTTTGTGTTAAGCTTGAATATTCCTCTGTGGAAACTATTCAGATGATTTAGAAGGCTGCAACTAGAGGCAACCAGTGATTGGCAGCTTCATCAAGACAATGCACCTGCTCACACATGACACCTTGTGCAGGGTTTTTTGGTGAAACATGAAATCATCCAGGTGACTCAGTTCCCCTAGAGCCCAGATTTGGTACCCTGCAACTTCTGGCTTTTCCCAAAAAAGGGAAGAGATTTCAGACCATTGATGAGATTCGGGAAAATACAACAGGGCAGCTGATAGCGACTGGGAGAACTGTGTGAGGCCCCAAGGTGCCTACTTTGAAGGGGACTGAGGTGTTTTTTTCCTATGTACAGCGTTTCTTTTATCTTGTATATTCTTCAGTAAATGTCTCCATTTTTTGTTACATGGCTGGATACCTTCTGGATAGACCTCGTAACTCATCATGTGCAAGGGCTCAGTAAAATAAACAGCTAATTTTCCATAAAAACCACCAGAGGCCAAAGACAATGGGATGTCACATTCAAAGTGCTGAAAGAAAAGTCAACTAAGGATTCTATATCCAGAAAACCTATCATTCAAAAATAAAGGAGATGGTTAATAAGTACAGAGCTTTAGTCTTGCAAAGTAAAAAGAAATTCTGCAGATTGTTTGCAAAACACTGTGAATACACTTAAAAATTGTTAAAATCGTAAAGTTTATGTTTTATGTATTTTACAATTATAAACTTTAAACAATAAGGAGAAATTAAGAATTTCCAGATAAACAAACACTGTGGGAGTCTGTCACCAGTAGACCTAACCTATATGAAATGTTTACCGAAGTTTTTCAGGCTGAAATGACAGGACACTAGGCGGACACTAAAAGCCATACAAAAAAAGAACACTGGTAAAGGTAGCTATATAGGTAAATATAAAAGCCAATATCATGCTTTGGATTTCTAATTTTTTTTCCTATACCACACGAAAGCTACATTCCACAATATATGTTTATCCTATGACTACAATTAGGAAAAAAATTAGTAAACTGAGAAATGAAATTAAAAGACTGAGATATAATGACTATGATTTATATCGTTAGGTGAGCTGTCTCATACTTTATTCTAAATCAAATATCTCTAATTTCTATTTCAAGTGGAAAAGATCCAGAATAAAGCTTAAGTCCAAGCACACTTGTAAGCAGAGACTAATAAGAAAGGTCCCTGGTCAGAAAGTCAAGATCCCTGAGGTGTTCTATTGTCAGCCATGCTAACAATTCTTGGAGTCACCCACTAATTTCTCTGGGTCTTGAGTTCCCCACTTATGAAATGGAAAGGATATAACAATATTATAAAAATTTATATGAAATAAAAAGAAAACAGTTGACTTAAAATTCTTTAATTCTTTAGTAAGTTAAAGTAGTAGGCTATTCCAAAGTATTATCATTGTTAATACTATCAGCATGCACAGGCAATTTCTTTATTTACCTGATGATGTTGGATGTTTCTTATGTTGCATGAAAAATTCTGGTAGAGATGAAACTTATCAACATCTTTCTCATTTACTTTTTTTGAAGACACTTTTGCCAAAGATGATTGAATAGAAATATATCTATTTTGGCACCTGTTCAAATACACAAATTTTTTTTTAAAAAAACGAGTAGTTATTAACATATGTAGTAAACAAACATGTTATACGGAATAGGTCAGTGAAAAAGATAAGCCACTAGCAAATGTAATTTTTTTAAATGATGCCCAGTTATAAAAGTGTTACTGACCCACTAAAAGAGGACTCTGCTTATTTATGCTAGCATAGGCCCTACATTGTCTATTTGTGTATCAACCCAATCCTCCCATAAAATGCCTAAATGAGTTCAGATACCATCTGCAGTTATATAAGAGACCAAAACTATCTACAAGGAATCAGACCAGTTAACTCTGGTCTAGATATCAATCTTCTCTAATGACCAAGTAAGCCAGTCAGAACGAATTAAAAGCTAAAAAAAAAAAAAGAAAAAAGAAAAACAAGAAAATGTGTCAGAACATCTTCCAATAACAATGTATAGAACTGAACCAAATTTCTGCAGTATAACTACCTATAAAAACACACTTAAAAGCCTGGGCAATTCTTCTACTTAATAACTAATTCCTTCTAGGGCCACAAAGAAAATAGTGAAGTGCTCTCACTTGAATGAACAAAACCCTGAGCAGCTATAGCAGTCAACTGGTTCATGTCCACCTTTCCTCTTCCCTGCACAGCTCACACAGCTAGAGATGTGGAGAGAAAGGAAGAGCAGACCTCTGGCACAGCTCTGTCCTCTCTTCTGATAAACAACAGAAAAGTACAGGAAACATAAAAAATAGGTTTAAAATTAGTAACTATTTTAATGAGGCATAAAATCCATAAGCCCAAGGAGGGTCTAGGGCAAAGGTTTTCCAAAATCTCTTACAAACTGGGACTGTGATGTCATGGGTGAGCTGCTCTCCATTAGCTAGAATTCATTTGGAGATCAGTATGTTCAGCCATACCAGACATGAAATAGTCTCATAAGCCTAATCACTGGTAAACACCAGAAAGGGGATATTATAAATTTAGTTCCTACATCACAATATGTTTTTTAAAAATGCCACCAAGTCAAAATGAATATGAATCTCTAGCATATTTTGTTTAATCTGTGGATTTTAAACTGTTTTCCTTGGGGCCCTCCACTGAGGCACTTCAGTGTGAGGAGACTGAGCAGGCGGAGTTCCAGGGTCCCTGTTCAGAGTCCAGTTAAAGTAGCTTTACTTTTATCTGTGTTCTATATTCGGGTTCTGTTGTTTGAACAGGCGTCTGCTACTCAAGAAGTCTGAAAATAAAGTTTTTTATGACCGCGGGTCTTAGCACTAACCATGCAGCCCACCAGCATAAACCTACAGAGTTACTCACAATTTCCTTATGAAGTCAAGCGTTTCTCTGTCTTTAGCGATCATGTCCGCTAAAATATGCTGCACTCCAGCTTCAACGTCCTGGAGGGCCGAAAGCCCTTTGGATAAAAGGGAAAACAAAAGCAAGAACTACACATTGGTTTTCAAGTCTATAATAAACCACAATAAATTCATTACAGTCAAAATAAAAATCTTAAATTGACAAACATGACAGAAAAGTATCATAGCAGTGACTAACTTCCCTCTCCAACAAAAACAGGTCCCCAAAAGCAGTAACAGAGGACCTTCACATACCACGTATCCTAGTGGTGAAAAATACAGCTCTGGAACCAGATTTCTGTTCTAATCCTCGTTCTACCACTTACCAAATGTGTGACCTCACTGTGCCTCAGTTTCCCATAAAAGTAGACTAATACCTACTTAATGACGTATTTATAAAGATTAAGCATGTTATGGAAAATATATATTCATTGAGTCATATCCCAAGGCATACTTTCATTCCAGTTACAAAAATTCTCCTAGGTTTTTAAACCATGTTTTTATATTAATAAAGAAAGTAATTTTATTAATATTCCTATTTTGGCTTATGAGGCATTTATTCATACTTTCAATGACTCATTTGAATTTCTCAAATCTCATAAGCACAAAACAAGACTCAGTATGGGGCTGTTCATCTTCACAGCTGAATTGTCTACCAATGGTACATTTAATTCTTCCAAGGGCTTTTGATTTGCTAATTTACAGCAGTAAGTCTTGTACATTATGACCCCTGAAATAACTTTTAATTTGAGCTAGACCATTTGCATTGTTTTCTCTCATTTCCTTTGCCTTGATTGTTCTATTTCCATTCAAGCTTTTTTCTTGCATTAATGCCTGAATTACACAAGAACTGAGTCTTATAAGTGTCTTTTTCTGAGAGTATAGTTTTAATGAGTAACAAATACAAAGAGAAGATGAAGACAGACTTAGAGAGTAACTAACAAGGAGAAAATACCTTACTGGGTTGTGTTATAACTACTCTTAACTTAACTTAAACGTAATTACATTTATTTCAAATAAATTTAAAGAAAAAAAAATTGGCCATTGAATTAACAAGAATTCTGTCTATATTTTAAGAGAATTTCCCTATGAGGGAATCTTAGGAACAAATTACCTTTGAAAGATGGAAGTCTGTATATGAAAAGGACTTAGAACAGCTCTGGCACATACTAAGCAGTCGATAAATGTCTGCTCTTGCCCTAGATCAGTCTTCATTTAAGAAAAACCATTCAGTCCTGGCTGGTGTGGCTCAGAGGACTGAGCACTGGCCTGCGAACCACAGAGTTGCTGGTTCGATTCCCAGTCCGGGCACATGCCTGGGTTGCAGGCCAGATCCCCAGCAGGGGGAACGCGAGAGGCAACCACACATTGGTGTTTCTCTCCCTCTCTTTCTCTCTCCCTTCTTCTCTCTCTAAAACAAATAAATTTAAAAAAAAAGAAAAACCATTCACTATGCACTAATTCCTTATGTTCCGAAGCATCTCCCAGTACCATCACACAAAGTTTAATGAGAACACCATGATGACAAGTCAGTAGTAAATATGTAACCCACATTGAGAAAAAACAATAAAAGGAAAAAAAGAGGATATTATAGATTTTGCTATTATAACAATGGCCTTTGAAAACACCCATCATTTGTGGGGGGACACGATTTGTTAACCTATGTAATTAAAATTATTCTAGAGCTCTAGAGCAGTGTTTTGTAAAGTACAGCCCAAGGAACCAAAAATAAATTCATACTAGGTACTTGTAAAAATATAAATTCTTAGCCCTGGCCAGGTGACTAGGTTGGAGTGTCATTCCATATATCAAAATGCTGTGGGTTCAATCCCTGGTTGGGACACATATGGGAGGCAACTGATTGACATTTCTCTCTCACACTGATGTCCTTCTCTCTCTCCCTTCCTTCCCTTCCTCGCTCTCTAAATCGATAAACATATCATCAGAAAATTAAAATGAATTAATTAATTAATTCTTAGACTGTGGGCTCTCACTGTTTTACAGACTATCACAGATGATTCTGGTACACACTGAAGTTTAAAAACCAGCCCTGACTGGTGTGACTTGGTTAAATGTTGTTCTGCAAAGCAAAAGATTGCCAGTTCGATTCCCGATCAGGGCACATGCCTAGATTGTGGGTTTGTCCCTGGTAGGGACATGTATGAGAGGCAATCAATTGACATTTCTCTCTCATATCAGTGTTTCTTCCCTCTCTTTCCCCCTCCCTTCCCGTCTCTCTAAAACAAAAAAAATCAATAGACAATTTATTTTTTAAGTTTAAAAACTAGTGCTAGGGCCAACTGGGTGATGGAAATATTAGGGGGAACACTTTGTAAAGTACACAAGATCTGTTCGGAAAAAGTCCAACCACTGTTAATATAACGAAAATGGTTTGCACAATATCAGTGTTGCCAAGATAGCCAAGAGTGGACTGGAATGCGCATGCATGAACAACAATAATGTCACTGTACCACTCAGTAGGGGCAGTAGACACCCTTGAGTGAGCATGTGTATTGTGTGGCCGTCACATTCAAAATGACTGAGCAAATAGAGCAATGAATATGAATCAAATTTTGCATTAAGCTTGAACATTCCTCTGTGGAAATTATTTAGACGATTCATAAGGCTGCAGTTATGAACTACTGGTGATTGGCAGCTTCATCAAGGCAACATGCCTGCTTACACATCACATCTCCTCCAGTTTTTTGCCAAAACATCAAATCACTCAAATGACTCAGCCCCCCTAGAGCCCAGGTTTGATGCCCTGTGACTTCTGGCTTTTCCCAAAACTAAATCAACTTTGAAAGGGAAGAGATTTCAGATTGTCGATGAGATTCAGGAAAATATGATGGGGCAGCTAATGGCAATTAGAATTATGTGCGGTCCCAAGATGCCTACTTTGAAGGGGACTGAGGTGTCACTCTCCTATGTACAATGTTTCTTGTTTCTTGTATTTTCTTCAATAAATGTCTCTATTTTTCATATTATATAGCCGGATACCTTATGGACAGACTTCGTATGATTGTCTAACCACTAGGCTGTACACCTGAAACTAATACAAAATAATATCGAATGTAAACTGCCATTGAAAAAAAAATTAAAAAGAGAAAAGCACGGCTGGGGTGGTGCCCTTTGCTATGGCTAGAGGAGTGGTTCTCAACAGGAAGTAGAAAGTATCAGACATCCCAAAAGCTCACCTAAATAACATACACCAGCTCAGTACAACTAGGGAGAGAAAGGACTAAAAGGACTCCCTGTCTCTTTTGAAAAAGCACCTTCTCCCATCAAAGAGAATTGATTTGGGGGGCTTAATACAACCAAAGATAAGAGGAGTTTCAAGAGTTTAGCACCTCTGTGAAATCAGAAGAAAATAAAGGCCACAGAACCAGAAAATCATATCCTTTGCCCTGTAGTAAAAGCTTTCCAGCTGTAGATTCTTCAAACATCCACAACTGTAACAAAAATCGAAGGGCAACACTTCTTTTCACTTTATCTGCACTAAGACCATCTCTTCTTAAACACAACAGAACAATCAGCCACTCCCATGTACACAACACAGGAATATTCTGGATCTTCTAGGATATAATCCATCCATGGCATAGTATGTCTTTTTTATTCAGACTAAATTCTTGTTTGTCAGTGGCAAGTAAGAAAATTAAGATGTGTCTTCTATTGGGGTAAAAAAAAAAAAAAACACTGAAAATACCTGGTTTCTTGAATATTTCCTTGAAGAATAATGAGAATGATGAAATGCTTCTTTAGGAAAACAGTAATACAAACCAAATAGAAACAGAAGCGCAGTTACATGGAACAGACTGGCAGCTGCCAGAGGGGAAGGGGGTGGACTGAATGAAATGTGAAGGGATTAGCCAAAGAACATCCGTGCATGGCCATGGAAAGGAAGGACAACAATGAGAGGATTGCCTGAGAGAGGGGTCGGGGGCTGGCAACAGAGGAAAAAGCAAGGACAACTGTAATAGCATAAACAATAAAATACAATGAAAAAAAATTCCATCTTTCTTGATGTTTTTGGAGAAGTTACCAAAAAAGGCATTAAAATAAAGGGAACAGAGAAATATCTTCCAAAAAAAGAACATTAATAAATTGAAGGTGATCATGAGTATGTGTGCAGCATAAAGAATGAAAGGACAGCCCTGGTCCGTGTGGCTCAGTTGGTTGGAGAACCCTCCTGTAAACCAAAGGGTTGCAGGTTTGATTCCCGGTCAGGGCACATGCTGGGTTGCAGGTTCAGTCCTCCTGTGGGGCGCACAGTGCGAGAGGCCACTGATCGATTTTTCTCTCTCACATTGATGTTTCTCTCCAACCACCTCTCTCTCCATTCCTTCCTCTCTCTCTAAAATCAACAGGCATGCGCTTGGGTGAGGATAAAAAAAATAAAGACTGAGGGGACCAAAACAAAGGGGAAACATTCCAGGCAAACTGTAAACAGCAGTATCTAGCCTGTTTGGAACTAATTAATTTTTCTACACTTGTGATCAGAAAGAGGGAGTAAAGCAAACAGGAAGTCCGGATATATATGTAGTACTACTGTCACTGCGCTGGGCCCTGAAAGATTCCCATCATCAGAAGTATCACCAAGTGAACATCATCACATGTAGTCCAGAATCATCCCCATATCCGACAGTCAAGAGAGATATGGTTATCAAGCCTACCCAGTAGGAACTCAGTATGAGTGGGAACTAAGGAAAACTTATAGCACGGGAGGTAAGAAGTAGAAGGAAAGGAAATCAACAATAAGAGAAAACTAAAATAAGCAATAAGCCTTTATTCATCTAACATTCTAAAAGCTTCAACATTATATTTTATTGAAACATATCATGACTGGGCCAAACTTAATACATGGCTATAGAGTCCAGCTACTATTAAATTATTAAATGTTGCAACCATTTAAAAATCCCACACTTTAGAAAAATTAAACTTGAATTTTACTCATTTCAACCCATCGCTCTACTGAAATAATACTAATTTGCTTTTTCTTTCTATCATTGTCTTTTTCAAAACACATATTGAGATGTGTGATTTTGTATATGAAGAGATATATGTACTTTTACAGACACACTCAATTTTTTCATTGCAAACTCACATTTACTGAATTATTTTCTTAAAAACAAGGTACAGTATGCTGTGAGTCTCTGCAGCTCCACACACAGCGCCGATTTTGTAATCAGGCACTGCCCCCTACAGATAGTTATGTCTCAGAGCCTGAAGAATCCAAAGGCCGAAGGAAACTAGGCTGACTGCAGGGGTCACCAGAGTCTCGCTCTCCCCCTTCAGCCCTATCAGAGCTCCTGAAAAGGCCTCTCTTCCTCAACAAGCTCGCACTCTAAGGCCCTCATTTTGACAAATAAAAGCAATGTATCTTGACATGTATCAGTTGTCGGTTTCCTTGGATTTTCCTCAGAAAAAGCTCTGCCTTACTCCCTCGCTCTCTCTTTCTCTCTCTCGTGCACACACACACAAAGGATAGGCAGCTGCCTTCCGGAAGAAGACAAACTCTTCACTCCTGGTGAGCAGCAGTGTGACAGTAGGACTTTAGCGGACACTTCATGTATGTCGGAACTGCTGAAATTCTATGACTTTATCATTAAATAAATTTTTTGAAAGAGGATAAAAGTTTTAAAAGACAATAGGAGAATCTTTATAATGTGGAGAATCATTATTATCCTTATAACCTCAGGATATAAAGGGATTTCTTTAAAAAGAAAAGAAAAGCAATTATTTTAAAAGTAAGATTAATACATTGCAAAGATTAATATACTAACTATATTAAGTATAAAACTACATAAGACCTTCTTCTACTTACCAAGGTACAGCATACAGAAAAGAGAAGTTATAAACTGGGAGAAAAGATCTGCAACCCAGATAACTAAAGAAGAATATCTTAAAATGCTTATAAGTTAATAATAAGAAGAGACACAACACAATAAAAAATGGGTAAAAGTCTAGAACAGGTACTTTATCAAAGGAGGAAAACTGAATGGCTAAGCAAGAGGTATACTGGGGTTTATTTTGTGAGAATTCCTCATTCTTTATATACTATACATTTTTTGTACAGTCATTACTTAAGCAAAAATTTTAATATATATTTTCAAATTTAAAAAGAAACAGGGCTTATTTCTTTAGGTAAAGCAGGTACCTTTTACATTGGGTCGAATGTAAGACAGCAGATTGAGCATCCCCGGATTCTCAAGCAGGGTCCTGGCTGCTTCCTCTAATCCCAACTGCCTTGCTCTCTGGGCTTTGGTGCCTTTGCTCCCAGTTTTATATGGAGCTGACTAGAAAAACAAAAAGTCAGAAAACATACCACATCGTTTAGTTTTAAAAAGCAAAAGTTAAAACTAGGAAGCAAAATTAGAGGACATAGAGCGAAAGCTAAAGATATCCGACATCAGCTCTTTCGTCCTCCATCAGAGAAGAATTAATACTAACCACATAATACTGACTGCATAAAGATTGTTCCTTATCTGACTCTTTACACTTTTATATATACTTAAAATTAGTTTTTTGTTTGGGTCCACTCATTTTAAAAATTCAGTGCCTGAACTGCAAAGGCTGTGAAGTTCTCTCGACTCAAGCAAGCTCTTCCAAAAGCTGTCAACAGTCAGTGCTTCCACTTCCTAATCCATGTTCCCTCCTTAACTTGCTGTCATCTGGCCCCTGTCCACACAGCTTGCTGAAGGTGATACCAGAAAGGTCCACACTGATCCCCTAATCACCAAATAGACCTTTTCGCTCTGTATCTTGCCAAACCTCCCTGCTACATTTAATTACTAAACTATTCATCGTTCCTCCATCTAATACTCCTTTTCCTGGCCTTTCACGGTATCATCTGATTCTCCGCCTACTTCACGTATTCTTCCCACGTCTCCTCCTTAGGCTCTCCCCTCCTCAGCCCACGCTTTAAAAGTCGGTGTCCCTCTGCGGTCTACCCTGACCTGCCTACCCCACCAACTCTCCTTGAGTGGAATCTTGCGTCCTCACGGTTTCATACACCAACTACAAGCTGAAGACACAACTCGGCCTTCAGCTCAGGATTCTCCCTTAAAGCTTCACACTCCGACAACCTAATCTCCTTGTTCCCTATTTGACTGGGGATTCCTTGAAGTCAAGGACTATGGGTTACTCATTTTTGTAAACCCAAGAGCCTAACACAAATATGTATATAATAGTTATTGAATAAAGAATAAATCTTTTGTTCAATTAAATAATGATGGCTCATGGTTTTAGCTTTTTATTTCCAGGTCTTCTTTGACTATAAACAGACCTTAATCATAATATGGTTAGGTTTACATTAAAAGATAAAAAGGGCTCCTTACCACGTGTTCTAGTTCTTCAAAAGTTTTACAGTTCAGCAAGGCTCTTAACAAGCATTCAGACATCTTTCCTTCCTTCTTAATTTTCTGGATTGTACTACGAACCTTCTTTGCAACAGCCCTGAAAATAAAAACTGTTGTAACATACAAGACCTGTATGTCAAAACTTTCTCTTTGAAGCTATCTCCAACTTACAGAAAAGTTGTAGGTAAAGGAAAAAGAATTTTTTCCCCGCTTTGAACCATTTGAAAATAAGTTGCCATTACTTTCAAATACTTTAATGTGCATTTTCTAGAAACAAGAATCTTCTCCTACATAACAATATAACCATCAAAACCAATTAATTAATATTGATGTTACTATCATCTGATCCTCAGATTTCAGACTTCATTTAAGTTTCACCAACTGTATTAATAATGTCCTTCGTAGTAAATTGAATTAAGAATCATGGGTTGCATGCGATTGCCATGTATCTATTGTGTTCTTCAAACTGAGACAGTATTTCAGTCTCTCCTTCACCTCAAAGCCTTGATTTAGAAGGCTTGAATCAGGTCAGTTATTCTGAAGAATGTCCCAAATTTTGGGTTTCTCTAATGTTTACTCACACTTTGATTCAGATGATCAATCTTTAGCGAGACTATCACCGCAAGTGAAGCTCTAGTTCTTCTCACTATATCCAATGTGACAAATAGGTATCACGATGATTTATATTTGTCCCATTACTAATTAACTTTAATCATTTGACAAGGTAGTATCTGTGGGTTTCTCTACAACACAGGTAATATTTATTCCCTTTGTAATTAAGTATTTTGTGGTGAGGTACTTTTGATTATCCCATTCCTCAATAAACTTTCAACTTATTCATATCACTAAGGACTCATGGTTTTTCATTTTTCTTAGTGATTATAACCCATTGCTATCATTTATTTTAGTGCTCAAATTGTTCTATATTTGACTAGAAGTAACCCCTTCAGGTTAGATTCTGTGGCCTTTCGACACATCTCCATCATTCTTTAAGCACTCCTTATTCTCTGGCACAAGATATTCCAGGCTCATCTTTTACTTTCTCTACCCCAGCCCTGAAATCAGGAGAATGGCACTTAGACACCAACTTATGGGTGACAAGTGTACTCATTGCTATTGGGTATCACTGTTCAGGATGAGTACACCTAGCACTCATAATTGGTTTCTAAATAAGTGGAACCTCGGTTCTTGAACTTAATTTGTTCCAGAAGTTTATTCAAGAAGCAATTTGTTCAAAAACTGAATCATATGGTGACTGATCATACAGATATCAACATGAAAGGGTTGTTGGGTTGAGAACCGAAGTTTTGTTCGACAACCAAGACATTATTTTCTGTGAACAGCTTGGTCAAGAACCAAATTTTTCAAGATGGGAGATATTAGAGAACTGAGGTTGTACCATTTTCCACTACAAAGAATCAGGATTTCACAGAGAAAAGCTGACTCCAGGAACCAATATAAAGGGATCAATGCACAGGTAGGTGCAAGAGCAAGGCACAGTTGCTCTACCACTTTATAATAATTTTTCACTGTGAATATGCAATCTTATTGTTATAGTCAGTGCCTCTCGTCCTATTCCATTACCTGTTCCTATTTACAGGATCTGCCTAACAACAGTAGTGCTAAAATGATGGGCAAAATCAGAGAGATGATAAAATAAATTGTTAAAAATGATGAAAAAATTAAATCAAATTATGAAAAAAATCCAAAGGCAGAAGATTACACATTAAAGATGAAGGACATATAGCCCTTAGATTACAACCTGTAAGTCTTTTACGGCCCTGGCAGCCCAGGGGCTGGAGCCTACCACAGTCATTTTGACAAAAGACCGATTTTCCTGTTGGCGTCCATATGAGGAAAAGGAGAGGCATCTTTAGAGAAATACAAAGAACTTTTCTAACTATCCAAAATCATACTATTTAATTTACTTTTTTAATAGTAACCCTTCAGGTAAGAAATTTATTTTACCTTGCAACGCAGTGTGTGTTTATGTATGTATCTGTGTGTGTATGTAGTGAAACCAATTGAGTAGGTCATTACCACTTAAAAAAATGAAATAGAAAATATGAGAGCAGTTTATAAAGATAAATATTGTTTAATAAAAATGATTCAATGATACATATGCACATAATCATGTTAATTAATAATTACATGTTCATATACACATATATAAACATGTTTATTAAACAATATTTACCTTTAGCATAAAACTCACATCTTCTATTCTCTATTTCATTTTTAAATGGTAATGACCTACTCGATTTGTTTCACTACTCATTTATGAGTAATAGTCAACAGATTGAAACCTAATGCTCTAGATAAAGAAAATGCCAAGCTTAAGAAAAAAGAGATCTTATCTCCTTACCATAAAGAAATCTCTGCATGATATAAAGATCTTCTAAGCCCCAGTTACTTCAAGAAGCATTCCTCTACTAATGTAAGAATGGGGCTCTCTTGCAGAAGTGGTTTTTTTTAATAGAAAAATAACATAATAATCATCATCATAGTAATAATGCCATAGGTACAACCAAAAATTGTAAGGGTATTTTAAATTTTTTAAACTATCCTTGCTTGTTTGTGACACTTCATAATTTCAGATCCCAAAACCCTCAGATTTTCTTCATTACCTTGCACTCAACCAAACAGAAGGCTCACTACAGAAACTGCAAAACTGGCCTTCGGGATGTGGCCCATAGATGATGTTTATCTGGCTCCGAAGTTTTGTACATAGAAACCCATACTACTGGATTCTTTTGAGAAAGAGAAAGATCTGTCAAACTGGGTAGATAACCCCGCATATCAGCAATCAGCTGGAGAACAGTAGAGCAGCTGTCTCTCTCTTAGGACCTGTGCTCTCCAGTTCTTATCCTTTGCTATTTGGTTATACTAGCCTGGTCCTCGAAGATTTTAATCTGAGACTGCTTGGTTAGCTAGTCATTTATACTTCTGAGTTGGTAACTGATTTTGCTCTCAACAAAATATCTCCACATGGTGGAAAAGTTCCCCCCAAATCACAGGAAGCTTATTTGGCTTATAAAAATAACTCAATACTTTTAGAATGGCTTAATGGTAGTATTGTATCAGTTTTAATCAGATTCTTTTTGTAGACTTGAAGAACACACACATTAACAACATGGCACCTCGCATATAGGACAAATACAATAAATGCATGAATGATGGAGAGTGTTTTCATAAACTTTACTGAATAATACAGAGTCTTATAGTCTTTATAGTTTCTATATGTGTATTTCAGAGTTATTACAATAAATCCATAGACATAACTTTTTAAAGGGTACTTTCCATTCTATAACCATATAAAATTTACACTCCCCTAATATAAAATGACCATCCATTTTAAAAAGTAGAAAAAGGAAATACACCAATTTCCTACAAACCTCTCTACTGCCAAAGAACTTTCCATTTCACATCTTTATAGTATTAAGAGGGCAATTTTTTTGCAAACCACTGAAGATTTAGACAAAACTGTATTTTTCTGAGTCTCCTGCTGGCAGTCCTAATTTTGTCATACAAATCATTTCTGTGAGAGAACACGACACTCAAACTCAGGCACACACTTTCACTGCAAACCACTTTTCTCATCATGCCCGAGCTATGCACAAACACACCAGCAGAGGGACCCTGTACACCCCTGTATAAGTAAAATAGAGCCGACTTCCGCTGTCAGAATAGGACTACAACCAGATAACAGTAATTCAACAAAACAGCTTTGGCCAGCATGGCTTAGTGGGTTGAGAATTGTCCCAGAGTGAAGAGTTGCCAGTATGATTCCTGGTCAGAGCACAAGCCTGGGCTGTGGGCCAGGTCCCCAAGATGGGGGCATGCAAGAGGCAGACAATAGATGTTTCGCTCGCTCTCTCTTTCTCTTTCCTTTCCCCTCTCTTTGAAAATAATAAATAAAATATTTTTTTTTTAATTTCAAAAACACAAAACATTGAAACTGTTGAAATATATTGTCATTCATTTCCTCGCTGCTTCTCCTCATCAGTTCATGTGGCCTCCTTCCCTTTACACTAGGCCCATCTCTTCCCACATTTCTTACCGTAGCTCCTCTAGAGTCTGTTGAACTTCTCTCAAGTAGTCAGCATCAAGGTTGTTAATGAGCTCTTTCCGATAACGTACAATGAAGGGAATTGTGTTATCATCATTAAAGAGACGAATGATGTTGGCACAAACCCAAGGTTCAATATTAGTTCTCTCAGATAAAACCTGTAAATTAAGTACACTTAGTTATTTAAAATCCCGAAAATTAAACATCTATATTATAACGTATAGTTTAAAATACAGCATCAAATTATGTTCTGCAATCACTTAGAAACTACTTGCTGTGGTTAAAATGTAAAATATACTTTAAAAAACTATATAAGATATATATATATATATACATATATATATATATGTATAGACAATCCTAAAATAGTCATTTCACTAATTCAATAAAATCCAATTAAAACCACTCTATCATTTATATTCTACAGGGCTCAATGAGATATGCATGCACTTGGTATTTCTCAGACTGGCCACAAAGATCAAGGATTGGTAACTCACTTTATTGGCATGAGGGACAAGGAAACTCACTTTCAACCACTGTTAGTGAGGAAGTACAATGGTTTAACTTCTGAAGAAGAGCAACTTGACAACATCTATCAATATTTACAATACATGAACACTTCAATGTGAATTTATCCTGATATATTTATTCCTCTGGAGAAGGAATTACTTATAGTGAATTTTTTTGGAAGAATTGATTTCAACAGAGTAAAAGTTTGACAAAACCTAAGTGTGCAATGGGCAATTGGTAAATTATGATACACCCACAGAGTAGAATACCAGGCAACTACTCATATATTAACTGATATAAAGTGATTAGCAAGAATGGAAACATGGCTTACTTTCAGGAGAGATAATTAGTTGGATAAAAGTTAGAATACAAAGATCTGTATCTTTTGAATTTTGTATCATATACACATAGTACTACATATTCATAATTATTAATTCTTTCTTAAAAAGACTAAAAGTTTCACCAAAATGTACATGTAATCAGAAAGGTTGAGAGAAGTCAGCCTGGAGAAGAAAAAAAATGAAATGCACTGTCAGTAACTCTTAGCAAAACCTAAACAGATTTTTCAAAGTAAAGCACAAAAAGCATTAAGTTTTGTTTCAATCGTGATGTGCAAGATCTGCAAAAAACAGAAGGAAAAAACCAGAGAAAGTACTAAAAAATTACCATAATCAACTGGTTAACAAAATCAAGTCAATGTATAAAATAGACTGAATTTCAAAACTAAAGATGAAACAAGGAGCTGATCTCCAGAGACTACTAGGGATACTCTCATTCCTCTGGGCACCTTAAAGTACAGAAAAAGGCTGCACATACTTGTACTATGTCCCAGTTCATTTCCAGCTCCTCTGTAATATTGCTGGCGTTTGCCAGAAACTTGTCAGGCTGCCCCTGAGGAAGTATTTCGGTCTTCACTGTCTTTAATGGGGACTGGCCAGATGTACAGTCATCTTCATTCTCTTCCCTCTTGCAGGCCCCTTCCCACAGGGTGCTTGTGGATGGTGTTTCTGTATTGTTACTCTCACTCTTGAAGTTGCCAGCTCTGTTGGTTTCTTCATCGACTTTCAGCTTTTTGGTCTTCTGAGCTGAAGGTAATTGAGCTGAACTTTTCCGTTTGGTCTTTGCTGTTTTCAGAGTCTGCACAGTAGCCAATTTATTTTTTCTGTCTTCCAAATCAACATCAGCCACAGCAGTAGTCTATAGAACCACAAAGAAAACACACAAAGCATTAGAAGATAAAAACTAATTACCATGGAATATTACTCATCAATAAAAAGGAACAAACTATTCACACAATAACTTGGAAGAATCTCAAGGACATTATGTTGGATGGGGGGTGGGGGGTAGCCAATCTCAAAAAGTTACATACTATATAACATTCCCAACAAATTAGTAGTTGCCAGAGGTCAGAAATTGGGGGCAGGGAGGGGATAAGGGGGAGGGAGGGTGGGAGGGAGCTGGGTGTGGCTATAAAAGGGCAACCCTAGGTCCTTGTGGTGATACACAAATCTGATATACATGGGATAAAACTTCATAGAACTAAATATACACATATATATAAATGAGTACAAATAAAACTGGAGAAATCTAAATAAGATCAGTGAGTTTTATCAACAACAATATCCCTGTTGTGATTATTTTACTAAATTTTGCAAGATGTTACCACTGGGGATATTGGGCACATGATATCTCTCTGTATATTTTTACAACTGCATGGGAAATTATCTAGAAATAAAAAGTTGAATTTTAAAAATGACTAAAGGGCTCTGGCCAGGTGGCTCAGTTGATGGGAGCATCATCCTGTACACAAAAAGGTATGGGTTCAATCCCTGGTCAGGGCACGTGCAGGAGGCAGCCAGAAAATGTTTCTCTCTCTCTCTCCCTCTCTCTCTCTCCCGCTCTCTCTCTCCCTCTCTCTTTCTCCCTCTCTCTCTCTCTCCCCCTCAAATCAGTGAGCATGTTCTCAGGTGAGGATTTTAAATAAATAACTAAAGGATAGGGCTACACATGCCAGAAAAACCAAGATTTAAAACTTGTAATCAAGCCCTGGCCAGGTGGCTCAGTTGGTTAGAGCATCATCCCATACGGCAAAAGTCTGAGGGTTCGATCCCCAGTTGGGGAGCACACCAGAGGCAGCCAATAAATATTTCAACAATGTTTCAATGTTGCTCCCTGCTCAGATTGGGCATGCTCTCTCTCCTTCACTCTCTCTCTCCCCACCCCCCCTCCCTCCCTCCCACCCCACCTCCACCGCCTCCCTCCCTAAAATAAATATATCCTCAGGGGAGGGTTTAAGGAGAGAATGGGCCATAAAAACCTAGTTTTAAAAAATAAATAAAATAAAACTTGCAATAAAAAATCAGTCATTTAGAGAGAGAAGAAAAACACACACTGATAAAATCCAACAAGCTACACCTTCCGCCAAGTTATACGGAAGAATATAGGACAGAAGAAAGTATGACAGCAGGGTAGTGTCAGGAGTCTTTCTTTAATAGGAGTTTGCAAGGCAGTTCACGCATGTACAGAGGCCACTGGATACACACCTCCCCCACACACATACATACCCAGGTGAAACCCCAGGTGTGAAAGAACCTGGCATCACTGGGCACTAAATAAGATACAGATCCTGCCCATACGGGGTTTACAATTTCACAAGCTCGCTTGTTTTCATTTATCTAAGTGACGCAGATGGCACAAACCAGAACAAAAGGACAACTCCCAAACTAAATTCAGTTAAAATTCAATTTTCTCCCATATCGAATGCTTTTCCAAAATTAGTGACTGCTGAAAATACTGAGACCTACTACAATAAAGAGCACCCCATCCTAATGCCCAACCACTACCACCTGAACCTGGAAATGATATACACTAAAGAGACCTCCAAGTATTACATTTTCAGTTGAAACATAATGGATAAGAACAGAGAAATAAAAATAGAATGACTCCATCAGAGTTGATAATAACCTGATCAAATGAACTGACATAGTTAAAGAATGTGGCAATCACATTGAGGGTTGTCCGCCATAGAGGAGCAAAGAACTGTAAAAAACAAATATAATCAGCAATCTTCTAAGAGGAAAGCTGAGCAAGCAGATTCTGGCCATTTTGGACCCAACGGTAAGACAAGCCTCCTGCAAGATGGACACAGATTACCTTAGATTCCTGCAATTAAAACACTGAATTGTCACTGGGACAAGCACAGTGCCTAGACCACAGCAGGCATTCAATAAACCCAAAGAGATGGCTTTATCCAATTCTCCTACTCTGAGTCAATGGTCATCAAGTAAATTTCTGATTACTATTTAATTCCCTACTTACTTCAGCCTCTAAAGAGAGACAAGTAAGTTCTTTGTGATAACTAGATCAAAGTATTATTAAACCAACACTCTGGTTTTATACATCACTGTTATGAGCATGGCTGATGTAAAAACACCCCTGAGAAATGTATCAGTTCCTGAAATGCTGACAAAATCATGTTCCTGACTTAGAAACCCAATTCTATCACTTACTATCTAAGTCACTTAATGTCTTCTGCCTTGGCTTTCTCATCTATAAAATAAGGATAATAATAGCACTTGCCTCAAGGGGCTATTGTGAGGAGTAAGTAAGATCAACCAAATGCAGTGTTTAGCATATTGTCTGGCCAATAATAACACAAGATATTTGCAAATACCAATATCATTACCACCACTACCACACCTAGACCACTCCCTAATAGAAAGAAAAGAAGTAGATGAAGAAATTAAGAAAAAAATAAAATGACTAAAGGTGAGAGGTTTAAAGTAAGAGGGAAAAAAACCCAATAATAATAAATTAGACACTTAAAGATACCTTCTCTGGAGTCATCAGGTAAGATTTATCTACTGTTTCTCCGTGCTGTTCACAGACCCCTGGGGGACCTCAAGACCCTTTCAGGAGATCCCTGAGGTCAAAGCTACGTTCATAATAGTGCTGAGACATTACTTCCCTTTTTCACAACTGTTGAAATTTGCAAGGATTCGGCAAGAGCAATGGTAGCTAAAATCACGGCGTCACCAGCTGTACTAGCAATCACTGTTCCCTTCGCTGCCACACACTTGCAATAAAACAGTGTCAGTACCACTTAAGAATAAAGCAGTAAAAAATATTAATTTTTAAAGTATCGATCCTGGAAAGTATACCTTTTAAATAACCTGTACTGACATTAGTACACGTAAAGCACTTCTGCTGCCTTACCAATGTGTACTGATGTGCAGTGGCTGTCTTGGGGAAAAGTACTCGTGTGGCCGGTTCAGCCGTGAGCTGACCTAGCTTCTTTTTTCATAGACGCCCCTTTCACTTGAAAGAATGACTGACAAACTATGGCCAATCAGATGTGGGTTTCGGTCAGACTGTCACTTCAAAGAAATACCTGACTTTGGACCAGTAATAAAATTCAGACTTTAAAGTGAAAATCAGAAAATTTTTATCTGCTTCTGTGAGCTTGACAGTTTTCCAACACTGTGATGAAATCAGTGGTTATATTAAAAAAATGTGAATTTCTGACATTGTATGATGAAAGGTACTGTTTAGAAGATATGCAAAAATCAGTGAACCAATATTTTTCAAATGACCACTATGTAATGTTACAAAATCATGCACGGGTAAAAGATCTATTCAAATTATAACAGACCAATGGATTTTAATATAACAGTATAAAAAGTTCATTAACATGGTACCAGCTACCACGATGCAACAAACCTTTAAGAAACTACCACTTACTCCTGGCCAGGTAGCTCAGTTGGTTAGAGCATCCTGATACATCAAGGTTGCAAGTTCAATGCCTGGTCAGAGAACATATGAGAATTAACTCATAAATGCATAGATAAGTGGAACAATAAATTGATATGTGTGTGTGTGTGTGTGTGTGTGTTTCTGTCTCTCCCCGTCTTCCTCTCTCTCTAAAAATCAATAAACAAATTTTTAAAAAACAAAGAAACTACCACTTACTGAGTTTTGATAAAGAATCAAATATGAATATCCACAATTATTTGAAAAAATCTATTTTCAAGCAGCCATACTCCATTTTCCAAATACCAGGGAAGTATCTGTGTAGAGGCAGAGCTTTCTTTATATCGTTCAGTTATTTTCTGTCAGACATTAAAGGTATTTGGGGAAATGTAAAACAATGTCATTCTCATTTTTTTGTTGTTGTTGAAAAAATATATACTTATTTTTCATTAAAGTGTTACGTGTATCAACATGTAACAGGTTTATTTTTAAATTGAACAATATTTTAAAATTTCTCATTAATTTCTACTACAATAAATACTGATAGATATAATCCACATGAGTAAAAGTTCTTTGGGGATCTCAATAAATTTTAAAAGTGTAAAGGTATCCAAAGACCAAAAATTTTGAGAAACATGGACCTAAACTATCAAAAACATAGGGAAACATCTCTCCATTTTTTGAAGCTTCTAAGATTCTATAGCTCCTTCAGTGCTTGACAAGTTTATAAGCCTCCGTGACAATAGTTTTCCTCTGTATAGTTAACCTGAATCTTTGACAGACTGAATAATCAAAGTTTATTTTCTTTTGCCTTCATGGGTTTTTAAAATCACTCCTAGCAAATGGTTATTATATAGCCTATGACTAAATCCAAAACTCCTAGAAGAATTTGACCATTTTTCTTTTTGCTATCTCTGTAATTAAGAAACAGTCTAAATCAAAAAGTAGATCATTGTATCTTTACCAGTTTAATCAGTCAGAGACCTCAGCCTTAACCTTGTCTTGTGTTGTGTGAACTTGACAAATAACTGGAAAGGAATATGGAGTTGGGGGAAGCTTCTTAAAAATTAGATATAAAAGAACATTTTTATACTCTGTAACGACTGAGCCAGTGGAAGAAAAGCTGGCCAAAGAAAAGAAAGGGGATGACAAAAGGAGCAGAGAGCTTGAAAAGGCAAGAAGCGACAGGATCTAAAGCCCAAGCAGGGGGACCAACCCTTGACAGGAGCAATGATATTTCTTCCACTCTAACAGGACAGAAGATGAATGCAAAAATAGCTAGTCTGGTCATGAGAAATGGGAAACTTCATATATTCTCAAATACATAAAAGGCACTGTCATCAGCTAAGAGAGAAAATAAAGAAATTGAAGTAAGTTTAAGAAAAGAGGCCCTGGCTGGTGTGGCTCAGTGGACTGAATGCTGGCCTGCAAACAAAAGGGTCGATGATTCAATTCCCAGTCAGGGCACATGCCTGGGTTGCAGGCCAGCTCCCCAGTTGGGGGCGCTCAAGAGGCAACCACACACTGATATTTCTCTCCCTCCTTTCCCCTCTCTAAAAATAAATTAATAGAATATATTTTAAAAAAAGAAGAAAAGAGAAAAAGTGGAAAAACATATCTGCTGGGGAAGAAAAATGAGTTTACCACATGTGTGAGTTCTGAGATTATGGATCTAAAAGAACAAATTAGGTCATTGGTAAGACTGTTTCCAGCTGCCTCAGGGTTTGATCAGCCCTATAGCATCGAAGGAGAGAAGGGCAAAAAGGGTGAAAGTCTTTAACGGAAAGGGATTTAAATGGGAGATTAGGCTACATAAGGTAGGAAAGGGCTGAATGCCAGTGAGGGAGTGCTGGAATCGCAGGATTAGGCAGAGACTCTCCATGTTCACTGTACAAAACCAAATCACCTGGGGAGCTTTAAGGAAATACACTACTGGTGCCCCTGCCTATCCCAGTATTCTTTCCAGATTTAACTGGTCTAGAAACAGGGTCTAGGAGTTGGCATATTTTAAGTTCTCCAGGTGAAGCTAACATGCAGCTAAGATTGAGACCTATTGATGAGAAGTTGGCACAAGGGTGCAACGTGGTGGCAGTGAGAGAACTTGAACAAGTGAGCTAGCAGAAGCTGGTAGCACAAACGTGCAATGGCTGAGAAAGAAACGTCAGTGGTCGCACAGTGCCTGCTGACGACAAGATTTGGGTTGAAATCATGAGATGGCTGGGCAATGCAGAGAAGAAACGGTCATTGGGTCAAATGAGATCAAAGAACAAAGGACACACGGTACTGGGTCCTGGATTCATCCTAGCGGCAGGGATGAGGAGGACAGAAGACGGCAGGCGGAATACACGAAGCAGGAACTAAGTCTTCAGTGAATGAAGAAGAGTGGCTATTGGGCTCATAAATGCCAGCAACACGGAGGGAAAGAGACAGAACAATGATGAATTTTGTCTGCAGTGTTTGCTAAAAACAGACTTAAAAATATTAGAGGCCTAGTAATTCTAGCTCTACCCAAAATGAGGTTTTCAATTATTTCCTTCAGTAGTGGTTACAGCAAAGCAAAATGCGAAGCCTAATGAAATGAACTCTTACAACATGATCCACAGGCTTTCACTGAGCTATAAACCATGTGAATTTTGACAATTTTGAAAGAAATTCTAACTTTCCCCTTACCCCACTTAATGTCTCCTAGGTGACTTTCTATTTGAATTCTCTTTCTCCCTTTAAAAAATATACATCTACCAAGCATCACTGGCAAAATCAAGAAGTCACCATGACAAGGGTTGTTAAATTGTACCCACCTTGAAATAGACATGTATACATTGTACTCATTTCACTGAAATGGGTTCTTAACTTTCATCAAATTCTCAAAAGGTTTGTAAACTCTACACAAAGAGCCACTGAACTAAGAGATATTTTCTGGATTAAGAAATCAATCTACTAAAGTACAATAGCTATGCCATGCTTATGAAAACCTACAAATTCCGCCAATGATGACAGAAGTCAATTCTTTCTCAGTAAAGCCTGCCCACCCACTAAAAGAGTGTGCTCAGTGAAAAGCCTGAATGCAAAGATGATGCAATATAGGTACTGGATAACAGGAGAAAAGATTGATTCAAAAACCCTATCAAAGGGCACAGCAAGGTCTAATAATAACCCCTATTATATACAGTAAATGTGTTGTGTCCATGGAAAGTCAGGCATCCACTGTGTATGAAAAGAGTATTATTTTAAATGTACTAGGAAAATTGTTATTTAAAGGAATACCACAGGGAATGGTTTTGGAAATGCATAAATGCATAATTCTTTTTGTAACGCATAATTCTTTTTATGATCCAGGGTGGTGTGGACACAATGTGCTTCCTGCAAGGTGCATATATATGTCAGTTGATAAATATTCCTTCCCCTCCAACATGGTGGATCAGAAGGTAAATACTACTAAAACCCATGGCAGAGGACACCATTGTCACGAAGTCATTGCCATCTATCTGCTTTGTCCTACCATACAGAAGGAGAAAGTAACATCAGTAATTAGGAAAGCACTACAGTGTCCCTCTTTTCAGCTAAGGCACCCACCAGCGCCTCCTTAACCACCACTCCTTCTGAGCCATCACTGATCTGCAGGGCATTCTTCTTCACCCGGGGCACCCTCTTTGGTCTGGATTCCTTGCGAACAGCTGGCTTAGTATTTCTGGGGACTTTCTTTTGGGGCTCCCAGGCACTATCTTCCTTGTCATCTTCTTCAGAGGCAGAGGATCTAGGAATAAATTGAGAGAAAAAAATTTTAGGAAAAATGAGGCCAAATGTGAAAGGCAAAAAAAATAAAAATAAAAATAAAAAACCCAGACATATAATGCTTCTTAAAAAGAATAAGGTAGGAGGTGTTTAATATAATATGGAGAGCTATGAACAGATACTGCTAACAACTGAAACAAAAGAGTAAATCAGAGACCAATGTAAAAATACCCCCTGATGCATTGTAAATCACAAGTCTCTCTCAATTCACCTGTCACCTAACAGACAAATATACGCACACATACACTCAAGACACAGGAAGTCATTTATTACCTTAAGCAATTTACTGGGTCATGTCACACTATAGTCATTGTGAGGTTTTCCATTTTAACAGTGAAAAGCACTTAGATAATTTCCTAAGTGCTAATCAAATTCATTTAAATTGTATTAAGTTATTCAAACCAACCTAAAGAGTGGAAAATGGCTCTAGGAAACACCCTCAATTACATAAAAGGCCAGTAGCAAGACCCTTCCAACTGTTTTATCCTTTTGTTCCTTTCACAAAATGGATTTGTTTCCTCATTAGACTGGACCAGGTTCAGCTATAGTACTTTTCTACCAAGAGTTAAACTCATAGCAGCAGCAGAGAAAAAGCAGTATGTGAACTGTGGTAAAGGAACATCACGCTCCTGTCACCCTGGTTGGCGGTATTTCTTTCCCTCATGTAAAAGGTCAGTACTGGTGAGGACAACTACTTCCTCCAGTGAGATTGGCGAAGGGAGATGTCTGGCTCTTTGAATGGTTTAAATTCTGCCTAGAGGCAAAAACCTGATTGGATGACTGCTTTGCTAAATTACGCTCTGGGAGAGCATAGTTGTGATAGGTCAAGCTACAGACAGTCTCCAAGTGAGTTGCCTTCAGAGGCAGATGCTAAAACTAAAGTCTAACAGTAAGGGAAAAAAAAAAAAACACCATAGAAAAATCATTAAACTAGCATAGCACAGTAACAGTGGAATTAAAGGAATGAGATTTAGAAAACCAAGGAAGCAGAATGCTCTTCATGCTCTCACCAACTTGAACAGAACGACTTCAATCCCCCTCACCCTCGTCATCTGTCAAGCAGGAATTGTTAACCTTATTCCATGTATGGATACTGCAAAAGTTACACGACACACAAAAGTGCTTTTAGTTATTATCAAGAAAAATGTCGTGCAGGCATTATCTTCTAAACATGAGGCAGTTCTAAGACAGCGAGTCAACTCTCACTCCTAATCATACTTGACCTCTCAGCAGCACCTGGCACTCACTCCTTAGAGCACATCTCTCACACGTTCCAGGGACACCACTCCTCCGGTTGTCCCTCTACTTCCCCGGCAGCTTCTCCTTACACCCTTTGCTTCCCCATCCTCCTCTCCCCAACCTTGCAATGTTGGGAACCTCTAAGACCTAGTCCTCAGCCCCCTGCTATGCTCTTTTACTAGGGGGCCTTATCTGATCCTGTAGCTGAATACAGAGGAATCTCATTGTTATGTCTCTAGCTTGACCTGAGCTCAAGAGCATGGCCACTCGCATTTGCTGTCAAACAATTGTCTCAAACTTACCAAGTCCAAAACAGAACTCTTGATTTCACCACCCTCACACCTGATCTTCCTGCCCTCACCAAATTCCTGTCTTTCCTTCACTCCCCACATCGACTCCATCAGCTTATCCTGTCTACTCTATCTTTAAAATATATCCCAATTTGGACCACTTCTCCCCACTTTCACCTCAAGACCCCACGGCTTCTATAATGATCTCTTTAACTGATCCCATGCTTCCACTGTGGCACCCCTACCGTCTGTTCACCTTCAAGAGACCGGAATGATCTCTTACACACGTAACCAGATCATGTCACATCCCTGCCCCAAAACCGGCCAGTGGCTTCCCACCCCACTTCAGATAAAACCCTAACACCTTGTCACAGCCTATTACATCCTACCCATTTTAATTTCACTTCCAGTCCCTCTCTTGGTGACTCTGGTCTGGCCACACTGCTCTTGCTGTTCCCTTAACACTTCGAGCTCATTCCTGCCTCAGGGTCTTTGCACTTGCTGTTCCCTCAGCTTGGAACACCCATTCCTCAGCGTTCGTCAGATCTTTGCAAGCTGTACTCCCAAATCTCGTATGGATTTCTTGCCATACTCTCCAAAAAAAGTTTCCCAACTAGTATATCCAAAATGTCCCTCCCGGCTACAACCACTCACCATGCTATCTATCCCTTGCCCTGCTGTATGTTTCTTTACAGAACTATTACTGCCTAACATTAATCAATCATTTGTTTAATTAATTTCTTCAGGGCACTCTCACAGGGAGCATCTGAGCATCTGACAATGACTGGAGACAATTTTGATTGTCATGATGGGGGTGAGAGGGTGGGAGGGAGATTGGGAGGATGCTATTGGCATCTAGTAGGCAGATACCACAGATACTGCTAAACAGCCTACATTGCAAACGACAGTCCCCCCCGCAACAGCAAATTATCCCATCAATAGTGTTGAGGTTGAGAAATCTTGCTCTAAAGCAATACAGGGTGTGGCAAAAGTAAATTTACAGTTGTTCATATAGAAAATACAATAATTAATAAATTAATACTATAAGAATAAACTCTGTGTTTCACATACTCACAATTATAAACCTACTTTTGCCCCACCCTGTATGAAACTCATTGTTCTCATGGAGCGTATGTAAATATCATTATATTTTTTGTTTGTTACTTTCCCCTTGTTCATCAGTACCAATACCTAAACAGAACTGGGACGCAGCATGAATTCAATAAATATCTGTTGTATGAATGACTGAAAAAGACACAACCTTCTTATCCCAAATGAAGTTACTTAAAGAATGAATTAATTCTCTAAAATATACATCACTCTCCCACCCCCATTAAAAAAAAAAAAAACCAATATGCTTACAACTCAGAGAAGGAAGAAAATTCATCCTTGGATACTGCAGTCTGGACCTTTACTTTTGCTCTTCTTGGCAATGATGACATCTGGAAGAAACAGAACATGAAATCAGTATGATGTGAATCACTTGAATGACTGATCATTTCTTTTCTCTATAAAATGAGGTGCCATGAAAAACTAAAAATCCAGTAGCTCTGCTGCAAGAAAATGCCATAGGTGGGAGAAAAAGAAAGAGGGTCATTCACAAGCTCAAACACTGGTTTCCCCTCTTATGTGGCTGCCAATTATAAGAGCAGCTAACACCCTTCCAATGGTTTCAAAAGCCTGATCATGAGTGTGTGCCACCTTTTGGTAAAACAGACGCTCCTAGAGGGTGACAATTCAATTATATCCTTGAGTAAACTGTGAGTGTTTTTGATGGTTTATCAGATAACAAATTATAAAGTTCTTTATTAAACTATATCTATAGACTATATGAGAAATATAGCGTGCACCGGCCAGTGTGGTTCAGTTGGTTGGAGCATCACCCTGTACACCAAAAAGGTTGGGGGTTCGATCCCCATTCAGGGCGCGCACGGAAGGCAACCAGTCAGTGTTTCTCTCTCACATCAATGTTTCTCTCTCTCTCCTTTCTTCTCTCTCTAAAATCAATATATATATTTTTTAAAAATTTTTTAAAAAGCCACCAGTATTTCACACACTAAGTTTAAAAACAACACACACAAAGAAATATTTTCCCTCTTCTATATCTTCTTGCAGTATATCTTCTTCTGACAGTCTGTCTACAGATTTGACAGTCAAACAATGTGGACTGAATAAGCAGTCATGTTATTCCTAAAACACGATAATCTATTCTCTTGTAATAAAAAATCAAATATTTAAATAACAATACCTGAAGCCACTAAATATTTCCCATATTCAAAGGCCCAGCTCTAAAAAAATTAAGACAAATAACTGGAGACATTATCTGATACAGGAAATAAACAGATTTACTTTAGCTGATAAGTTACATAATCAATGTAACAATCAAACCACAAAAACTGTATTAGACTCTGGCATATTTAGAACCCTTTAAACAAGTTCCTAAACTAGGCATATGTTATACTGTTCCTGGGTCTAACTTCCACTCCAAGGAGAAATACCTCATAGGGATACCAAAGGGTTGTCACAAAAGGGAGCGTGTTCTCCCAACTGCCATAGCTCAACTCAGTTCAGACAGAGCTATTGGCAGGAGAGTGCCCAGAAGGAACCAGGAAAGCAAAGGAAAAGTCTCCAGGCAGTAGAGTGAATAAAATTCCATCTTTTCCTTTATCCCCTTAATGGGACTTTATGTTTATGTAGGTCATTCTTTCTGAAATGAATCCTTCTGGATACTGATCATAAAGGAATGGGTAACTTGTGATTTCTTTGTTATATGTATTTCATAACACTAAAACAGAAACAGAGGAAGTTAGTGTGTGATGGGGTGGCATTTCAAACCAGGGCAAAAATGGATGATCCATTAAGTGGTATTAAGACAACCATCTGCTGCTCTGCTCGGAAGAAAAACAAGTTGTTTAATTCTTACTGCCACACCATGAACAACAATATTTCATACTGACTAATAATTCTAAATGCACAAAATAAAAAATACTGCCAAAAAAATCAAGAAGACTATTTTCATAATTTTGAGTGCAGGGGGGGAAATAAAGATTTTCTGAAGGATGACTCAATTCACAAAGGCAAAAAGATACACAAGATTTCACTACATAAAAATTAAAATCTCACGTCAGCAGTGGAAGCAATTAAAAACCAAACCAATCTACTCTTTAGTATCCTTAAAAAAATAAAAAAATCAAATCACAGGAAGCAGTACCTGATACCTTCAAACTAAGGGTAAAGGGACTAAGGACTGGCTGTAAGCTGTCTGAGGCCAAGGAGTATCTCTAAATGTCCTACTCCACTTCATGCTATTAGGCAACTGCCCCAGGAAAAAGTCTGGAGGTTTAACCTCTGAAGAGGGTAAAATAGTGTCTCTAGACTAGAGGATACCAAGGACAGTTATGGGCATGGGAACCATACAGACCACGGAGAACGCCTGTTCCTACCATCACGTCCCCGCTCTCCTCCGCTTCTCTCAATAAGCTCATAAAGAGCTGCTTGAAAAGATCCTTAACCTCTAAAGAGGAGAATGGAAAGGCTCTTCTCTTGAGAAGCTTACCAGCCAAAGAATAAAAACCTGAAAGTGTTCCCCAACAAACAGCCCAACCAGATCACCCACTCCCACCACCCGACTGTACAATATACCTGAATTCCGGACACTCCCACGTAGAACACTATGCACCAATTCTAGCTCCACACTTTGGCCTCAACAGAAATGTTTAAAATAGGGACAAACAAAAACTTAGCTAGCTCATAAAATTTTGGTTATTCATTAAGGAAGACTCCTCTGAAAAAAATATTTCAAAGTGCCCCTTTCAGGCACTCAGAAGGCAATGTTACCATAGAAACGATGAGTGAGATATAAACAAGTGGGGAAAAAATCCATTTTGAAAAGGGAGGTGAGAAAGGAGAATATACATGAACACAGAGGCCAATTTCAAGATCAGCTTAAGAAAGAGTATATATAGACGCTAAGGACCTAGAAATTGTTTCTTAAAAACTATCTATGCCAGGTATACTCCCAGGGGTATGCAAATTCCAGTTTAAAGACCAATGTTCTTAGGGACTTTTTCTCCATCTCCATTCTCCAAAGTTCCCTTATGCTGTGTCATAGGATTTGTTAGATTAACCAAAATTTCATCCATTTCTATGGTTTTAATTACCTATATCACCTACTTAACCCATTCCTGCCCCAGCCTTTCCAATCTCAATAAATGGCACCGCCATCCACCTAAGATGCATGATTTTTTGCTAAGCCAGAACCCTGGAAAAATTTTAACAGCTTCAGTGAGCTGTAATTGACATGCAATAAACTATACATGCTTAAAGTGTACAAATTTGGTAAGTTCTGACATATGTATACACATCTCCACATCCATAATACTCCAAAATTTCATTTGCTAAGTGAAAGCCTTATGAATCTTTTTTTCTTTCATCTCCCACATCCAGTCTATCAGTAAACCAAATAAATTTTTCCTCTAAATTGTATCTTAAATCTCTATGATCTCCAGTGAGTCTTTAGTCCCCAATATCTCTCACCCGGACTACCATAATAGCCTTTTAACTGGCCTCCCTGCTTCTACTCTTGCCTCTTCAACCCATTCTTCACATACCAATCCAAAATACTAAGAAAATGCTTAGAAACCATTCAATGATTTCCCATCCTCCACATAGAACCGAACCATATTTTCACCATTGCCTTCCAAAGTGCCTGCAGGTCCGACACCACCTACCTTTTTAATCATATTTACCACTTGCTATAGCTCCGCAGCCATAGTCACAAGCTTCTTCTTGTAAGAAACATGATTCTTTTCCACCTCAAGTTCACTCTGCCCAGAGTACTATTCCTCCTGCTCATCTCTTAGAGCTCAGTATTTTATGCCTAAAACGGGTGTCCTGGAAATGTTATAGGACCCTGTTTACTTCCTTTATAAGGTGCTATATAACATAACTTACAATCTTTATTGATTGTCTGCATCCTCCATGTTTACTTCATGGCAGTAATCATCATGAAGGAAGAAACCACATTAACCTTATTCATTTCTGCATCACACAAAGCCTGGCACTTAATAGTTGCTTTGTAACTACTTATTACATGAGCATATGAACATATTTTTAAAATGGTCTCTCTAGAGGAATATACACTTGTTTTCCCCATCACTATTAGGCAAAAATCACACATGGTACTCATTGCTTCCTTGAAAAAAGTGATGGTGCAGAAGAACCTTCCTATTCTTAGTGGCTTCAGATTTTCCAGCCTACCAAGCTGTCTTACCTCTGTGGGTACATGAGCGTATTCAAATCAATAACCTGGAGGTTTCTGTGATGTTACTAAGTGAGAAGGCACTAAACTAGAGCAAGTGCAAACCCAAAGGGCAGCTCTCTCTAGGGAGCATGTCCATATGGAGCCTTTACCCACCCTCTGAGCCCATCTGTTTCTTCTAGGGCTCACTTCTTCTACCTCTGTGACTTTCTAAATAAGCTTTGCTTGTATATAAAAAAAGATAAAATCAGGAGAAGGGCACAGAGAAAACTGCATAAGGCAAATATTAAAACAGGAAAAAACACAAGTAAAAAATTTAAGAACAGAGGGGAACAACTTTTTCAGAAGCACCTAAAAATGTTTCCCTAAGGGTATCATCAGAAGTGTTCAGAATGTCAGCATAAATGCCCAACTGAGTGATAAAAACAAAATACTAGACCTGAAAGAGCCTCTATATTTCCTTTTATTTTTTTATTTATTGATTTTTAGAGGGAGGAAAGAAAGGAAGGAGGGAGGAGACAAAGAAAGATGGATTTGTTGTTCCATTTATTTTTTGCATTCGTTGATTAATTCTTGTAGGAGCCCTGATGGGAGACGGCATCAGCAACCTTGGTGTATCGGGACGGTGATAGCTCTACACGGTCAGATCCGGTGAGTTTAAACGGTTTATTCAAAAGGAAGAGCTCTGTGGCAGAAGGAGGAGAACCCAAAGCCCCAAACACCGAGATTAGGCTTCTTTCTCACTCCATGTACATTACATTAATAACATGCTGTCACATGGGAGGTTCCAGGAAACTTGCATAGTTTCCATTCATTCCTTTCCTCAACAGTTAATCAGCGCCTCCTATATGCCAGGCACACTGCTGAGAATGCAGTTGACTCTTACAGCTGATCTGATAGTGAAAGGATACCTCCTTCCCACCTACAAAAATTTGAGCTTAAAAACAATCTAGGTTTGCCAGGGTTTACCTTGCCCCTACGCGCTAAGAGCTGCATTTTAACTAACACGCGCCTGGGAGCTACCAGAGGTTTTCTGAATGTAAGGTGGTAGATACAGATCACAAACAGTAAAAACTTCTCACTTTAATAAGGAACGTTATTTCCCAAATGACCGCTCAAAATTTTTTTAATAGCCCCAAAAATACCGGAGCCAGGGCGCCGGGCTCACCCGAGCCCGCAGGAACACCGTCAGGGAACACGATCAGCTCACCTTCCCGCACCACGTATCCGAAGGCCCGGAATTCTGTGCCTGTGATTGCATCTTCCGGTTTCCGCCGGAAGTTTTTCAAACGCCGGAAGTCCCGCCTCGCTTCTCCCTGACTGGCTACAAAAACGCTGAGCTCCCTGGGCAGGGTGGAGCCAAGCTGGACCTAGAGGAGGCTGGAGACTAGGGTGGGATCGGTGAGGTTGGGGCGGTGGAGGTAGGGCAGGAGGTGTTACAAACGCGGACTCGCCTTCCTGTTTTTCTTTTTCTTAAACTGCTTTACTCTCTTCACATTACATTATTGAATTTGCAGTACAAATATGAAAAATAGTCAAGTTGTATTCTTTCTAAAGTCAGTTTTTCTAAATGTCGTTATTTAACTTCTAAGGGTGTTTTTCCGTATTTCATTCATTCCTAAACCCCAGCGTAAGGTGTGCGTCAGTCTTAGGAAAATACACAAATTTTCCGATAAGGACTTCTGATAAACCCTCACAGAGACCAGGAGATTCACTTTACCTTAATGGAAGAGTTTAGTCCTACAGTCGTTTATCTTACTTGGACCTCTCAGGCAGCTTGGTACGCCGCCGGGTGCTCCGATTTGGAAGCCTGGTTCTTTCAGGAGCTTCCTACTACATTTGTCTTTGAACTTGTTTCCACTGCCTCCAGCTCCATCTTACTCCTTACCTAATAATGTATCAAACACAAAACAGGAGTAAACACACACTGAATTATTTGGGGCAAACGCGGGTCCCAGTTACCTAAACTTCGGCAAGAATGGAAAAGCCCTGCTCCGGTTCATTTTCAGATTCTTGGAAAGTGCTAATAACCTAGTATCCTAGGTGAGCCCTCTTCCAGATCCAAAATTTCCGTTCCTCTTCCCACAAAACACAAAAGTACTCCTGTTTTATTTTAATGACTACGAAGGGTCAGCTTTATTTCTATCCATTAAGACGCACTTTTTTTTAACTGATCCAACTTAAAAGCTATAAAGACCTTCCTGGCGATTGTTTCCCTGTGTTTTGAATACATTGTCTCAAGATCACTTCTCAGTAGAAATGAAAAATGACTTGTTTTTTGGCGATGTGCTTTTTATCAAGCACATTAAACTCTAAACTCAAACAGCCAAAAAAAAAAAAAATTAGATTGTAAGATTAGGGAAATAAGGCTGTTGCTAGTCTAGATTAGAATTTAGCATACCTAAGGATTTGTTTTAGAAGATTCTAAAAAGTAGCTTTCTGTGCTAATGACTCTTTTCCTAGGACTCTGAGTACTGAAGAGCTGAACAAGCTATTAAAATGACCCCTGAGTGGGCCTTACTACACATAGATTTACCCAAAACAAACATAAATTTCACTGGATAATTTTTGCGCTATGTAGGAAAATAAGAATTTTAAAATTTCTGTTCTACATCTAAGATCCATGGTCAGTAAGAATCAGTCTCTGTGGTGGTTTATATATTTTTTTTTTTTTTCCTCCTTAATTTGTAGTCTTATGTTGCCTTTTGCAGTGGTTCCAGAGGGTCTGGAACTGTATGCTACAGTTACTGCCTGCTCCACAATTTCTAGTTCTGAAATACTAGAACCCTGGCCAGATAGCTCAGTTGGTTAGAGTATCATCCCCATATGCCAAGGTTGTGGATTTGATCCAATAAATGCATAAATAAGTGAAACAACAAATCGATCTCTCTTTCTCTCCCTCCCCCCACCATCCTCTCTCTAAGATAAATACATTTAAAAATATAAAAAAATACTGGAGAACACGTTACAGCCCTGAATTATGGGACGGAAAACCAAGTTATCATAATGATCAATAGTAATTTACTATTTTCTGTTCACCTACTTTTGATGTCAGATTGTGCTATACAGGTTTAACATATGGGATAATAAGAGCCAAGGTGAATCAGTATTCTACAAAATCTTTTGACATAATTTGATGCCCTAGAGGAATTTATAAGCAAGACTGGGAAGTAGATACAGTCACAGTAGGCAGATCCATAAAAGACAGTCTAAATTCAAGGGTTAGGTTGCTAATCGTAGTAACCACATCACACAATGAGGATGAGAGTAGGGATTGGCCAGCATAGCGTTAGACCTTGATTCCCCTGTCTTCTACCAGGAATATTTGCCTTTTGACTGGTGAAGAAAAAAGAATTACTAAACTAACCTAGTAAGGTTTTAGACATCAGGCATCTGGGACAAATAAAAGCTGGGGCAGGGTCTACTAGCATTAATGTAAGTGGTGACCTACTCTAAAGGTAAGTAAGACTGTTCAGAAAACATTTGCTTTGGAATTTTGCAAGAGAGCCACTTCTACTAAAAACTTCAAGGGAAATTTGTAATCACTAAATATAAACCAGGCCCCATCACAAAAACTGTCTTTTCTCTCTAGTACCTTGCCCAAGCTATTATTTGGATAAGTGCTGAATTCCAAGAAATTTATGGGTTTAGTCTGGAATAATCTGGACACCCACCTGAAGCTATGCAGAAAGGCTTCGGAGTAATAAAAACATGTTTTGGAGGTTATTTATTTTATGGCCCCAAAGTATACATCTCCTCACATAATATTCATTGGTATGTTATTATTTTTATTTTACTGTCTATGTTTTCAAGTCCTTTCCCTGTGGATTCTCTCTCCCCAGGGAGACTGTAATAATAGTAACTTATATTCATTGATCATCTACTATGTGCCAGGCACTAAGTTAATGCTTTCATATGTATTTGTGTATTTGATTCACATATCAGCTCAATGAGATGCTACTATTATCCTCTTTTTATAAATGAGAAGGCCAAGCTAAATAACTCATCCAAAGTCACATAAACAATTAAGTTGCAGATCCAGGATTTAAACCCAGTACTCTTAAAGACATCCATATAATCCATATACGTCCAACTTATACGTCCTGTAAGGATCTTAAATAAATAAATAAATAGAAGAAAGTAAATAAAAAAGAAGTTTTTTATTTATTGATTTTAGAGAGAGGGAAGAAAGGAGAGAGGAAGAGGAGAGAGAGAGAGAAACATCAATTTTTTGTTCCTCTTATTTATGCATTCATTGGTTGATCCTTGTATGTGCCCTGGGGGGTTGGGTGTTGGAGGGAAATCAAACCTGAAACATTGGCATATCAGAATGATGTTCTAACCAGCAGAGCTACCTGGCCAGAACAAAGCAAAGATCTTTCCTTTTTCCACTACGGTGGTTACTGCAAGTATCATTGAGGTGCTGAAGAAATGTTAAACCACTAACTACACTACATAAACTGCTATATACCCATCTAAAACACAACCAGGCTATTTTCCCTATTAGCTTCAAACTAATTGAACTTCCATAAGAACACAGATTCTTAATATCGATGCCACTGTCCGCACTGAATTTTGCATTCACTAAATTTTAAGATACTTGAATCTAAGTCTAGGAACTAAGTATTTAGTCATTTTGGTCTCTCCTTCTCCAACTTCTTCCTTTTCCCACACAGTGCCTAATTAATAGTGCTTGACAACCTTTAAGTACTCAGTAAAATAGTAGACTCACTTCTGGGCTGAAGAATGTACCTGGAGTAAAGGAAAATTCTTCCTTGCACTAGAAAAGTAATCTAAAGCTCTTACCACACAGAAGGTGAGTTGCCACTTAAAAAATTAAGTGTGCTTTCGGAAATTCAAACATGTTTGTCCCAGAACTCTAAGGGACACATGATAATCACCTTGCAAAGGCAGAGGGTCTGTTTCAGACTACAGAATGCAAAAACTGAGCCCAATTTTATAAATTTCCATGTCAGCCCTACTCATCCCCTTTTGCACTATCAGAAATTCTCATTTCTAAACACTAAAACACATTGGCTTCAATGGGCTTCTCTCAATAGTTCAGCCAGGAACTTAGAGATTTCCTGAAAAAATATAAGAGATTGGTAAGCAGAGATGGGACTGCCTCTGTTTCCCAAATGAGAAGGGGGCTTCCTGTTTAGCGAGGCCAGTAGGTGCATTCCCAGACTTGGCCTCCCCCGTTGCCTTTTCAACCTGGCTGGGAGCAGCAGCAGCATTCCAAAGTGCTAGTCTAGTGGTGAGGACATTGTCAGAGCCCGGGGGAAGTCTGTCCCTTATGTGTAAAAGAAAAAAAGACTCAGGTAAAATCCTGAGTTTTGAAAAATACTGAGTGGATCTTGAGGAGGCATCAGTTAAGCCTGAGAAAATTCATTGTGCAGATTTTTTAAAGAAATAGATATTCTGGCATCATTCCAAGGGATTATATACATTTAAGTTTATCTTACATGAAGTAAAACTATGGGACCTACATATTATACTAGAATGTAATGTCTAGCTGAAAATTGAAATAGAGTGCTTTTCCCACGTATTTTTTATTTTTTTTATTTACTTTTTAGAGAATGGGAAAGAGAGGGAGAAAGAGACAGAGAGAAACATCCATGTGCCAGGGAAACATAGATTGGTTGCCCCTCAAATGCCCGCAATGGGGATCCTGGCCCACACACAACCCAGGCACATGACTTGACTGGGAATCAAGCCAATGATCTTGCAGTTCACAGGCGGCCCTCAATCACTGAGCTGTACCAGCCAGGGCATCCCACTTATTTTTTACAAGTCCTCGAAGTACTTTGTAGCGAAGGCAATTAAAAGTAAGATTTTAAAAAGAAATTCAGAATCATAGATAAAATATTTTATCTATTACATGGCTTACTACTTATCACCTGTTTGGCAAATTCACTGGCTAAAAGTCAATCAGTGGCATTCATGAGCAGAATTTTCTCCTGGGGAGTTTATCACCCTCAAGTAGTGTCCAGGGACCACCTCCAAGGTCTAAAATATTCATTAAATAGCCCGAGAGCCAAGCATTGGATCCCCGAGGGCCCATTAGGGTCCTAATGATGGCATGACTGCATAATGGGGCTAGATTTATTTTGTTCAACACCACAGGGAGCCGTGTCTGGAGACTCTGTACATCATAACTAATACTTTGTAGTATATTTGGTCCATCTTCCAGCTTAATGAGCTAGAACTATCCTGCGAATGGTTGGCTTGAAACACTTATCCAGAAAGCCTAGAGTCAG